GGGACAAAGTTTGCACAATCCCGCGGTCCTCCTCCTCCTCCCGCCACGTACTTCACCGTCGCGGATCCCAAAGATAAGGAGCGGGAGATGTTGATGACGAAGTAGGGGAGAGAGGGGAGGAGGGGAGAGCCGAAGGTGTCGGCTGCTGCAAGAGAGATTATCCCCGAGTCTCCTTCCTTGTACACTCGAACAAGAACTTTCGACCTCGACGGGTCGATGAAACTGCCGTAGGACTCGGTAAGAGTCACCTCATACTCATAGTACGCATCTCTGTCTCCCACACAGATGAACATCTGCTGTGACCAAGTGGTCTTCCAGTCCGCTGCAGCGATCGACGTCGTCGACGTGCCTGTCGTTACTCTGATCTTCTTCTCGCTGACATCCCCTTCCTCCCATCTCAAGGTGCCGATCTCATAGCCCACCCCCTGGAAGAACACAGTAGTGTTCCCCTTATCTCCACACGTCCTCTCCACCCTGAGGGACAAGAAGGCGTCCTGAGACATCTCGACCAGGCTCTGCTTGAATCCGACGATCCCGAGGCCTTGGTGATCGTCTCTGTTGATGCGGACTTCAGCAGATAGATAACTGACATTCCTGTAGGCGCAGCCGTCGAAGGAATAGAACATGAGAGTGAAGTTGATGTAGCAAGCCCCAGCCGAGAACTTCATCTCCTCGTTGAAAGTCAAGTTGATCGCCTTGGATGTAGTGTCAAGCTCATCCCACAGCAGAACTCCGTCCTCAACTTGAAAATCCTGATGATTGATCGCCGTCCCATCGACGACCTTGTACCTCACCTGGAGAGTTCCTTCATATCCATCAACTCTATTCACGACCACTTGAGGATTTGCAGAAGTACGGTTGTACACCCAGACTGTTTGCAAGGGGACTGCCCTTCCCAGGTTACAGACATCATTCACCAGTGTGACAGTAGTGGAGTCAAAGAAAGGATCCGGGAACGAGACATCGTCCTTGCTGCTGATAGTCATTCGGATCTGTCGTATGTATTGTCCAAAGTGATACAACCCGTCGTTGAGAAGGTTGAAAGTAAGAGTTGCCGTCTTGACCTGGGAAGTCAAACTGAAATTTCCGCTGGCTGGCAGAAGAGAGATTCCAGAGATGTAGTCGGGAGAAACGAACTCGGCTGACCAAGACGCCGACAGTGTTTTCTTGAAGTCTCCAGTCACCACTGAGATGAAACTGATGGAAAGAGAGGAAATGAGGTGACAAGTTCCTGATTGTGGAGAGATAGAAAGGACAGGGGCATTCGAGATAGCGACAACTGCTTGTGTGATCCCGATTTCAGGCAAGAATCCGTCATCTTTGTACAGCAAGAGGTTGAAAACTCGCGGCCGTCCCTTGTAATCAGGCTTTGCTGGGAGCGCCTCAACGACGACGGTCGAGCAAAGTGGTTGCCCGGCATCGAATGAGATCGAATGAGAAGAGAGGATGTAGTGAGTGCCGTAGGTCGAGTTGACATCTGCAGTCTGCAGAGAAGCAGAGATGGAACATGAAAGGGAGTTCCTGCAAACCTGAACTTCAAGCTTTCTGGCCTTGGAGTTGGTGAACAACTGATACGAAGCTGACGAAAGGGAAATGCTGCAATTTTCTCTCGCTGAGATAATTGCCCAGGAGCCACCGCGGACTAGAGCTCCTGTGATGAACCTCAAATGGAATGCAACTGAGCAAGAGAGGTCCGACTGGGACAACTGCGGCCTGTCGCTGACCACTCGAATCTGGTAATTGGTGTAGTTGCATGAAGGGAGATCCGGGAATTCATTGAGGAGGAATTGTTTGGTTTCTTCTGATCCAACATCCCATGCCAGTGAGTTTTGAAACTTTTGACCGTCTCGGCTGTAAAATTCATAAAATCCAGAAATGTACTTCGAGAACCCTGAAATCCGCTTCACTTGAACCATGACCTGGTCCAGAGGCGAAAACCCTTCTTCTGTCAAGATCTCGATCTCACTGACAAGATCGTTGTCCAGCAACGTTACATGTAGTTTGGACCTCCGGGAGTCTATGGGAGAGAACCCATTCAGGCTTGCAGAGGAATAGCCGTCTGTGACGCTGTTTGCCAACAGGATGCAAAAATTCCTTTGAAAGAGCGAGACCAACTCGTCGTCACTCACAAGCAAGAAAACAGTCTTCCTGCCTTGATCTTGATTCGACCAGCTGACTGTGGTATTGAGCAGGGAGAAGTCGTTGGTGATAGTGGAATTGCATCCTGGACTTGTTGTGTCCACTTGCAATGAAACTTGAATACTTCCCTGTGCACCTCCACTTCGGTCAAGATAGATTGGCAACAAGGCTCCCTCATAGGCCTCGAGCTGCAGAGAAGCAAACCCAATCATTCCTATGCTTGAGATGTCATCCAATATCAGAAATGTCCTGCTATCTGTCATATTCTTGTATGACAAAGATACTTGAAAGCTGCGAACAGTTATCCCCACGTGGATAGAATTGTTCCAAGGGATGCTCACTACCTTGTCTCGCCCATCCCAATGCCACCACATAATCTCTCCGCTCACATTTCTCTCGCTGACGTTCATTGCCTTGGCAGGAATGTATCGATTGTACTGCACAGGCGCCTGAACAAAGAATATGTCTTCCAACACAACATCTTGAAATATTTCCTTCTCGAAACTGATATGTACACGGGCACTCAGGTCATTCTTGAAGCCTCCGACTCTTCGAAGGATCACCTCGAACTTGCCAACACTTCTCCTCACCACGTAACCTTCTCCCTGCACAAAGACCGGGTTTCCCATATCGATGTCACACCAGTCTGGAGGCGGAGAGCACGCTAACGGAGCATATCCCTGACTGCAGTCGCTGTAGGAGGGGAAGAGAGGAGAAGGACAGACCCTCAGTGACGGATGTATCCTCCTTTCCTCGCCTCCTGCCGCTGCCGCCATAACCGCCATCACCGCCAAGCCCGCAACCATTCGCGCCATTGCCTCCCCGCTACGGGGGGATATTGGGTGGTGATGAGATGGGGGTGGGTGATGTACGGGTGTGAAACGTAGGTCACCCCATATCCAACTAGCCTCAGGTGTGTACAGGAGGGGTATAATCCCACATGACATTTCAAAGCAGGGGTAGTAGAAATCAAAGTAGGGGTCCATGGATTTGATGGCCAAGGGAGAGTTTGACAACTGAACTCGGAATCCGAGTGGTCCGGGCCCGACGGTGATCCGGGCCCGACGGCCGGGCGAGTTGGTTCTCAGTCTCTGCCTCTTATCAGCCTCCGTCGCCGTCACACTATGGCCGGGGCCGTGCGTGCGACAGTGTCAAGGTCCGGAGAGCAGCAGAATCGGGAAGTTTTACTGTCATGCTATACTCACGACCAGCTTCTCCTAGCTGCTCGTCTATTCATCGTGCGCCTCTTGACATGTTTACGAGCTCTTGCTCCGAGCGTATCACTCTGTTGTCCTCCAACAGTCGATGACTCTGTCCTCCGACCGCTGCCCCGCACTCGTAGCAGGTAGACTCCTGCGTTGCCCCTCCGCAGTCAGCAATGACGTAGGGATGACCTGGAGGAGGAGGGTGAGAGCAGTGAAACGAGCTGAGAGCACAGGAGCAGCGCAGCTCCATTACCGTTGGGGCAAGAGTACCAGTGGCCTCCTCCATTGTACCCTGGGTCAGAGGGGTGGAACTCCATCGCCTTGAAGATCTCTCTGAAGGTCTGCAAGATGTCAATCTGCTGGGGAACAGGTGGACATGGAGGCTGAGAACGTACCTCAAGAGGGATTCCTGCAAGGAACACAGTCAGGAGGCAGAGGTAAAAGTACAAGGTACTCACCGTCGTCAAGCTGCTTCAGCTCCTCTTGAACTACTTTAACTACTTCAGGATTGTCTGAGTTTTCTAGTCCTCGCATCGTCTCCCGCACAAACTCTCTCAGGGTTGATGTCAGTTCTTGCATTTTGCTCAACTTTAGGAGCGGAAGTTGGTTGCTTGTAAGGTTGTGTCTGAAAACGATGAAGGAGTGCATCAGTCTCTGCCACATGACCAGGTCCTGCTCAGGTTGAAATGCTTGCATACACGTGCGGAACACTTCTAGAATCCTTGACATCTCCTCAAGGACTTGGAGATTAACCACGTTGTTGTTCTTTGCCTGGACAAACTTTGTTGATAGGCACATTGCTTGGAACAGAATCTTCCATCTCACAGAATCTGCCACATCTGACTGAAGGGCCTGAAGAATCTTTCGAAAGAGACTGGCAATGAGCGTCCCATAAGAAATGTGAATGGAAAATTCCATGAGACGATCAGAGAGGGACAAGAAGGATGAGAATGCTTTCAGCCTTATCAGATCATTCAGAAGGGTTTCAACCTTGCTTCTGAGCAACCTGACGTCATCATGCTCGCGAAATTTCGCTGGCAGTCTACAGGCGCATGCCAGCAACAAGTTCATGGCCTTGGCGCGAGCTGTTGGAAGAGGCTCGACGAGTCGCGTCTCCCGCTGAGAATCGGGGCTGAAATGTTTCATGTTGAAGGTGATGTTGTTCTTGTAGTCCTCCAGTCGTTGTTGGATCTCGACTGCCTTGTCGTAGCATTGGGAGACTTTAGTCTCATCTATCAGCAGCATCTGCTCGCATTGCGCTACTTCGATCTCTGTTTGTATTAAGACCTTCTGTTGGTGCAACACAGCGTTCCTGGCGTTGACCACTCTTCCATATCGCTTCATCTGGTAGCCGTCGTTTGACGGTCTTCCACACCCGAACGGGCAGAGCTTGTTGTTGAAGTCGTTCATGGCGATCTCCAGCTCCCTCAGACCTGTGAAGGCTCCCTCCGCGTCTTGCAGGTAGTACCTCCCGATCTCCATGTGCCCGTCTGCCGACTCCAGCTGCAGGACGTGCTGGCGGCAGGGAAACAAGATGAGAGGATTCTTGTCCAGGTCAGCCTCCCCGAGGGTCGCGAACGTTATGAGGTCAACCTGAAGCTCCCGCACCTCCCCCGTCGAGTCGCAGAGAGGGCAGAACTTCTCGTAGTACTCGCACGGCTCCCCGCACACGCTCGGGCATCGATGACCACAGCTAAGGGTCTTGCTGCATCGCTCGTTGCATGGCAGGCGATCGCAGGGAGCCAGGCACAGCAGAGAGCATCTGCCTGCATGCTCGCAGTGCCAGTCGCAGAGCTCGATGCAGGGCTGGCACAAGTAGCCGCAAGGCTTCGAACAGCTGGAGTGCTGACATCCCAGTACGCAAGGCTCCTGGCAGAACGACATGCCGCACTTGGTGCCGTTGGACTGATGACAAGGAGCGTTGCAAACATGCCCGCAGAGGTTTGACAGCTTCTGCTGACACCTCACTTGGCACTCGACTGGATGGACCGGCTCGATGTCTTGGTATACCGACGTCAGGAAGTCTTTCCCAGCTCGTTTGCATCCTTCTTGTAGGCATGCTCCGCAGGTAGATGTGCAAGGATGGCTGCATGAAAGCTGACCGCTGCAAGGTACCGGACACGGTCTCGTTCCGTCCTCATACTCCTCAGCCAACTTACAAGGCACTTGAACCTCATGGCGGCACACTGGCATGAGGACCGTCACCTTCTCCGCGCAGTAGGACCTGCTGGGCTCAGCTGACCTCCAGCACTCGATGGGCTTGGTGTGACCGCATGGCAGGACGGTCTCGATCAGCTCGGAGCACTTGCCACAGGCTTGGAAGCAGAGCTTCTTGCAGCGGTGCTGCTGCTGACACTGATCCGGCCTTCTCGTGCATGGCTGCCGGCACTGGAACCCCTCGTGTCCGTCAGGATGGCACAACCTGGGGCAGGCATGTCCGCAGCTCAAGCGCGTTGGACAGGGGAGGATGCAACCGCCATCGAGAGCGAACGACTTGAAGTCTTTGACGTCCCTGCAGCAGCGAATGTCTTTAGGGTGCCGCTGACAAGTGATGGGGATCGCGTCGCCCACACAAGAGCTCTCGGAGAGTATGCTGACAACCTTTGACCACATGGCGTCACGATGAGTCAGCGTGTCCTTGTCTCCTATGATGTACATGCCTTGCTTCGCTCGAGAGAGAAGGACGTTGACGCGGTTCTCTACCTTCATGAACCCTGACATCTGTGTCGGGTTCGAGCGTACCAGGCTCAATATCAAGAGATCATTTTCTTCCCCTTGATAGTTGTCTACTGTGGCAACTCTTATGCCAGACTTGCTGGCGCTGTCGTCGGACAGGCCTTCTTCCTCTAGCAGCAGATTGGCTTCCCTGTTGTCTTTCTCGCCAAGGAATGCGGAAAACGAGAGTTTCTTCAGCTCCTTGGTGATCAAGACGCTTTGCCCGAGGTAGCCCGTCAGGATGGTGATTTGATCTCGGGCATAGCCTTGTTGGAGGAGGTAGGTCACCAGAGCGATGACGCAGGCGACTTCATGTGAGTTTGTCTTGGAGCCTTCTTGCGTCTGATACCTCATGTCGCCAGGATGGAAGCTGTCTTCAGGGACCGAGTGGTGCCAGAAGAAGACAGGGTACAGCATGCCTTTCACCGGCGGATACAGCAGCACCCGCTGCCCATCAAGCAGGTCGGGGTAGATCGTCTCTCGTATCAGCCTCGAGATCTCCGGCCGCATGCGATATTGACGTCTGAGGACAGAGGTTGGGGCATTGCGATCCTCGACGAGACGTTCGAAGAGAGATCGGTCAATGTCAAACCCCTTCCTCGACTGCCATGTCAACTCGTACAAGTTCACCTTAGGCCTCAGCTGGTGATGGTCGCCGATCAAGATGGCATGCTGTACGGAGCTGCCACTGAACAAGGAAAGAGTCTGAGACTCGAGAATCTCCGCAGCTTCCTAGATGTAACAACAAGTAAGTTGCACAAGAAGCTTGAAGACTCGCCCTACCTCTATCAGCACAACGCTACTTTTAAGACCGTTGATGACATCAAAGAACTTGCTGCGACCCGACACAGTACATCCAACGACAGAGCAGTAGCTTCTCAGATACGCGACTTGTTGTGATTGTTGCAGTTGTCGCCTTTCTGCATAGGCTTGATTCAACTTGTTGTATAGATCATACAAAGACTTCTCTCTGTGCTCTTGAAACATTCCAGTAATGACATCTCTCAACCTTCTTCTCGCTTCCAACGACAGCTTCCAAATATCCTCAATGTCCTCAACAGCTGCTTGGTTGTCACCATCAGGCCACCAGTCTTCCATCTGCTCAGGTAGAAACAAGTATCGTGATTCCTCCGCTGGTAAATCATAGTCATCTTTCTCGCGTATCTCTTCAACTTTCTCCTCATCGTCCAACGAAGATGTTTCTTCGCTCTCGAGTGCTTCGTAGCGATTTGAAGCCTTTGACACCTGAGCTCCTGAAGGTCCCTTCTCACTTCTCCCTCGTGGTAGAGGATTGACCCATAATTCGAGAATGCTCTCCCTGCCCTGAAAAGAGAAGTCATTGTCGCCAAAGATGATATCTTCGGCCATCTCAAGCTGCATGTAAATCTTTGGAAATTCTATCTCGACGAAATGATTTATCTCGTTCCAAGAGAGAGTTTTTTTCCCCCTGGAGGTTTCGAGCATTTCAACGTCTTTTTCGCAGGTCTTGATGATTTTGGTCAGGTGACCGAACTGATATCTCATCGACTGTACGGTAAGTTGCTGTGCAGACACTTGTTGCCAGATGTTCTTCATCAGGTAGCCGGAAAGCCGTTCAGATTGAGTTCGTGACCCAAATCGAACCATCTTCAGGTCAGGATACGCGTCTAACAAGTGTTCGAGGAACTGGTCTAGAGCATGATTTGTGTAGCACACGCACAAGAGAGGGTTTCTAGGTCCAATCCGCTTGTTTTCTATCAGCATCTTCACGATCGCGACGCCTAAGAACGTTTTGCCGGTTCCTGCGCACACGTCAGCTGCTGTCATGTCAACTTTGTCAGGATCTGCAGGCTTACCAGGCGGACCGTGTGTGATGGCCAGAGATCTGTGCAAGGAGCTGACAACCGCATCAGCCTGCTCAGTGTCTAGATAGCTCACTTGTTGTAGCCTTCGAATGACCTCCCTCTTGGAACTCTCTTCTTCCAATGCTGCTGACGGCACTTGCTTCAAAAACTCCAAGTCCATGGCGTCCATTTCTTGCAGACGTGTTGGTTCTATCAGGCAGTGAAAGTTCCAGACAGTATTGCTGAGATACTTTGGAGTGCCAGGAAAGAGTGGTTGGGTAGACAACTGCAGCTGATTCAACACTGGTGAGATCGTTTCTTCTTCCACCAGTTGCAATGTTTTTAGGATTTCTTGAAAGCTATAGAAACCCTGTCTTGGATCTATGATCCCATATGCCTCCGACGGGTTCTGAAACAGTTTTGCACTTCCAAGATCAGTCACTTGGAACTTCAGACTGACCTGCAACCTGTTGAAGGGCTGGCTGACTATTGAAGTCGGCGACGGAGACGTCACAGTTGCCAACTGAATCGACTCGTTCAGTTGCCCAGCCAGTAGTTTTCCCAGATGAAATAGGAGGACTACGTCGTCTTTCTGAAGAGCATGTATAGCACCTTCCTTCCACTTCTTCTCCATCTCCTTCTGCGATGCTCTCCGCAAGGGCACAATCTGATCCATCTCATACGTAGACACAATTCCGCAGACCTTGTCACATCCAGTCTGCAGGAATCGCACGTTCCTGAACACAAACACCGAATGGATGCTCGAGCCCGCTGCATCGAGTTTCTGCCTGTCGCTCCCCATGTGCTTGTGGAACCAGTCGAAGACTGCTCCTTTGTGTGCCGCGATATGACGCACAACCTCTGCCAAGTTGGCGATGCAATCATGGCGAAACAAGCGGAAGTGAACGTCAACGAGCCTCTGGATGGACTCGGGAGGATGATGGTGAGGAGCGTCGGCTCTGTTCTGCGGGAGGCAGGGAGGGACCTCGGACAGCAGCTCATCGAGAGTCGGAATGACGCGAACTTGAGCAATGTCAACGAAGTCGTTGCTGTGTCGAGCTCCAGTCTCATTGAGCTCACCAGGCCAGGAGTAGGGAAGGAGATGCGATGAAGCTACTGCTCTTGACCTCTGCATCTGCTTCAGTCTCGCGTCACCAGGAGTGTATCGCTCAATCAAACTCTTCAGTGCATTCAGTGTCAACAATATCTCATGTTGATTCGAGTTGTTTGTAAGCTGAGAAGCTCGATCCTCAAGTTGCTGAACCAGCTGTTGGAACTTTTCAAAAGTCTTTTTTCGAGGCGATACGCGAAGCAGCTTGACTGCGAAGAAGGCTACCGCATGAATGTCTTCAGCGCTGAGACGAGCCATGATGTTCTGACTTTCATCAGTTATCATGTCCACAAGCTTGTCCATGAAGAGGTCTTTGGAGTTGAAAATGGACATCAGCGTGTGAATTTGTCGGGTGAGATGAGGAAAGTTTGTGATCAAGCGCTGACAGCATTTCATCAGTGGCAACAGGATGTCGTACAGAGAGCAAAACTCAACAAGCTGCATGGACATTCCAGTCGTCCACACAATTCTATCTGAATCAAGGATTTCTTCTAGACGATGTCGTCCTCCCCCATTTGTCAGCAGTCCAAGACACCAATGTTCCCCCTCGAGTTTACAAACCTCTTGAACGAAGATTCGAGCTTCATGGATGGTCCGCAAGGAGATGTCACTTGTGATCATGTATCGCAACTTGGGAGACATAGAATCCTCCTCCCCCTCCTGCATTCCTCCTCCTCCTCCTCGTCCTCGTCCTCGTCCTCCTCGTCCTCCTCGTCCTCCTCGTCCTCGTCCCCATTCTGTCATCGTCTCACTTCGCCGAGGGTTGAGCAAATCCTCTGCGAGGATCTCAGGGAGGGGGGTGGGGTACCGAATGCCTTCTATATGAACATCACAGTCGGTACACCGAAAAAGGGGGATTGGAGGGGTCCATAGCCTACTAGCGGTCAAGATATGAGGGATCACTGAGAATGGAGGGTAGGGTGGGTTATCGACAGCAGCGCTTGTGTTGTTGTCCACCATACCTCCTCCCTCGTCTCCCCCGCCAGCTCAGTCCTGCAGCCATGCCTACAAGATGCTTCTCAGCTCGCTTCTTGCTTGACCTCGAACTAGTCGAAAGGGACATCGACTCTGATGTCATGCAATCCGCGACCAAAAAGATCTTGTTCCCTTGCAAAACCTCAACAGTCGAGATTCACAGTCGCATGAACGTGAGTCAGTACCTCGAAGCTTGCTCTCAGAATGTCTCGGCAGAGATCTGGTCTCTTTTTGAAAACACCTTCAAGAATACTTTTCCTGGCTGGAGGGACCGAAGGCTGCCGGTGATGCAAATGATTCGGGATGAAAATTCAGTACTCGATCTGCTTGACAAAGACGGACAGCAACTGGACCTGGATCAGTATCTCAACAACATCTTCTTAGTCAACGATTCCTGGTGCCTCTTGCGCCGCCACAGCGAAGGATACTTCTTGCAGTATGGGATCCAACTCTCCAGGTACGATGATGACCTTCAGTATTCAAACAGTGTACATCTTGTCGGCTACTTCAAGCCATACATCATGGATCTCTACTGGATCTACATGATTCAGGGAAATTCTGTGCCATCGGGGATGATCAGTTCCATGATCAACTCCAGCAACAGACAAATCTTTCAATATGCAGGAAGGGTCGACACAAGTCTGGTGCCCATCAATGGCGAGCAGCTGGCGGCTATCCAACACATGAAGACCAACGTAGAGGGAATCCAGGGGCCTCCAGGGACGGGGAAGTCCACGACCATCTACCACATCGTCAAGGGTTGCGTCCCCCTTGGTATGAATTGCCTCGTGGTATGTGTGCAGAACAAGGCGCTGGAGTCTATTGTTGACAAGCTCTCGGTAGACGCTGATCTGAAATTCGTCGTGGTGGGAAATGACTCGAGGCTAAACACAAATTGCAAGAAGTACACATTCTACGGCCTCATCGAGTCAAGCGAGCAATACCTCTCATGCTTGAAGGAACTCAACAGGCTTGACAAGATAAGTACCCTGCTCCATCAAAGATTTCATCAAAAAAAGAGTATCTGCAAGACAACAAGCAAATGGAGCTTGGCATGGGATCTTTACATCAATTCCAAGTATTGCCTTCTCAGAAACGAAGATCATAGTTATCACGCCCAGGTCCTATGGCAAAGAAAGCAACTTAAAGAAACGTGCAACCAAGTCTATCAGGAGATCCTTTCAACAAGGAATATCTTTGTGAGCACTGTGGATTCTGTTCAGAATATCCGACAAGGCAAGCGTTGTGTCTTGGTGATCGATGAGGCTGGTGTTGTCCCAGAGTTCAAGATGCCAGCACTGATAGTCTCTCATACGATAGAGTCAGTCATTGCAATTGGTGATCAAAAGCAGCTGACCCCTTTCAGCTACACAGGCAATGGAAACAGCTTCTTCCACAGGCTTGCAAAGATGCTGACCTTTCCCATGCTCAAAACTCAATACCGCATGCACAAAAACATCTGTGATGTCGTGTCAAAGGCGTTCTACAACAAAAAGCTCGTCACATGGAGCAATATCGATCGCAAGGACGGCCGCGTGGAATGGTGTGATCACAACCAAGGCGAGGATGGCAAATCGAGCAAGTACAATCAACATGAAGTAGACGAGTTGACTTCTACCATGTTGGAGCAAGATTTTCGAAATTACATCAAGACTAACAGCGTCATGATCATTACTTTCTACAAAGAACAATTTTCACGCCTCCTGAATGTTGCGGAGATGACCGGTCTCTACAACAAGTCGACAAAATGTTTTGTTGACAACTTTCGCATCGTCACAGTGGATTCAGCACAAGGCAGCGAAGCGGACACAGTGATTCTCAGCTGTGTCCGCTGCAACTTCAGTCAATCAGTCGGTTTCATCAAGAGCCCAAACCGTCTTTGTGTCGCAATCAGTCGTGCAAGAGAAAGACTTGTTATCTTGGGCAGTTCCAGCACAATGAAAGTTGTGCATGTGCTGCATGATATCTACCGAGATGCAAAACGCAAGGGCAATCTGATTGAGTCCATTACAATCTAAGTGCATGGGGCATTTACACCATGCGATTGCAGATTGTTATGTGACTCGCAGTTGCATTGGGAAGCAAAGAGATGAAATCAGAGAGACGCGAGGATATCAGCAGTTAATGGTTGTTACTCAACGTGTATTCTGATAGAACAATCAAAGAAGAACATTCTAGAGATCAACCTTCTTGCTGCCATGTCTGCGCTACTGCCTACTCTCGCTTTGATTCCGTGCGTTCGCCGTCCGGACTTTGGCCTTCTCTTGAACCTGCTTGTACTTGTCCACGGCCAGCTGGTTGAAGACCAGCCTCAGCTCGGATCTGCCTGTCGTCGGATCGCGCTCGACGGACCCCAGGTAGTCGTTTTGGTAGCTGTCGCCTCGCAAGCTGACCCTGGCGGTTGTGAGGCTTGCCTGCTGCAGCGCGTTGCTGAGGTGGTTGCTCTGGTCCTCCCGGGGTTGCTTGTGAGCCCTGCGGGTGTTGTCTTGCTGGATGGTCTTGGCATGTCGCATGATATCGTTGAGACAGTCGTGGACGTTGGAAGAGGAGAGGGGAATGTAGAGCTGCTCGAGCTTGAAGTAGCTGTGGGCGCGCTGGTATAAAGTCCACCTCTCATCAGAAATGGTAGGGAGCAGGGCCGAGAAGGAGCCCGAGAGTATCTCAGAGCAGACCAGCCTCGCACCATGGAGACGAGCAGCTTTGAGGAAGGCATGCTCGAGCTTCGGCTTGTTAGCATAGAATAACGTGAACTCTGGTGTGTCCCGGGTGATGATGACATAGCCGGATGGGAGGAAAGGGATAGCCACGTCCTCCACGTAGTTAGTGTCTTTCAAGAAGCTGTCGTCAGCGTTGCTCGATATCCCCGTCAGCTCTTCGGGCGTCGGAATAATGTTCGTCCCGTTAATGTACTCCTCGGCTGAGCCCAGCTCAGGATGCAGGAAGAAGGACCCTTGCATGCAAGTAGCCGAGCCGCCGGGGATGCCGAGCTGGCTCAGCCCTTGACTGACAGTGGCTTGCAATGGCGTCTCGTGGTGGGAGGGAGCCGTGTCCTTTGAGTTGCCGCTTTCAAGTAGCGCTTCCGTCTCTCTGTTGCCATAGTCGACCTCGCTCAGGAGTCCATCTAACGACTCCACTCCCTCAGCCGTAGTCTGGACGGCTGGGGTCCGGGTAGACAACGTGGTCAGGGTAAGGAGGGCCGGAGAGGAGACCGCCACCGATGATGTCGGAGGAAGAGAGGCCGGGTCGGGCACGGGGAAGAGGGAGGCGACCTGGGAGGCGACGGGGAGGACGCGCATGTGCAACATCGTAGGAGTATGCTCCCTGCCTCGAAGGGCTGGCCTTATGAAGGGATAGGGGCTGGGACGGGGGGAGACAGAGGGGGTAGGGGGTTGATTTCAAAGGAACCAATGGGTGGGTGAAATCAGGATCTTGAGGAGGTGGGGGTGACTTGGTCATGGATGAAGGGGGGTGGGGTAATCTGCACGCAGGCATGCTGCAAACAATTTTGAAACTTTTGTACTGAGCTCACTTTACTCAAAGTTAAGTTAAAAATCAGTCACTAAGTGATACTGACAGTACGGTGCTCAAGTCTTTTCTTTACTCAAGTCCGTATCCCCCGCGGCGGCCCAGTAGTAGTATGATTGTCCTCTTACTGATTTCAAGTTTTTAACTCAGCCTTTCAAGTTTTAAGAAGCCAGATTCAATGCGAAATCGCCGGGCTGAAAATCATCTAAAAATTACTAGCCAGATTCAATGCAAAATCGGCTGAAAATCATCTGAGAATTTACTAGCCAAATTCAACTGTCCCCGAACCTGTGTGTATAAATGCTATGTCTGGGCAGACATGAAGCAAAATGCCACGGAGTGCCCAATATCGCATCAACCTGAAAGACCTCGAGGTTTACGTGGGTGTAGGGTGTTTGGAGTTGCGCCAACATATTCTGTATGGAACAGACGAGCATACCAACAATCGCGTATTGGTCTTTTTTCAGCAGATAAAGAACAGCCTGATGGATTTTGATTCCCTGTGCAAAGGAATGTCAGAATACGAAGTCAAGACCTTTTTGGAAAGGATGAAGATGTCTTGTCAAAACATACTGATGATGCTATTGCAAAAAGATGAATGGGACAGCTTGCATGAGATCATAGATACCATAGACATTTTGTTGAGTTGAAGGGAGTTTATTGCATTTCATAAAGATGCATGGTTTTTCAAGCAAATGTCCCGTTCTGCAGCAAAATAAGCATGCGAGAAACGATGGTGTTGATGTTGAGGTACTCTGCGGAAAATGTGTTGGGCTCCTGCAACGGAAAGTTTTGGCGCATGTTTCCCATTTGTTCCATGTATCGTCTGTCTTCTGCTCGTGTTGCCCTGCTGACCATTCGAAGCATTTCCACCTCTGCCATGACATTGGGCTCTTGGTCGCTCTCGTTGATTGTCGACCGTACCAATCTCTGCCAAATCGCAACTTCAATGTGGCGCTTTTGGCAAGGTAAACACAAAACATGTTCTTGAAGCACTCTTTCGCATCCATGGGTATTTCACCGGTGCGTCTGGGAAGCATTCTATACAGTGTGAAATAATCCACGAGAAAAACACTTCTTTCCACGCCCGTATTGAGCTGTGCACACATACATGCAACGAACGCGTTGTGGATGTTGGTGTCTCGGGTAGTATAGAGCACCTCATTCATCTGAGCGCCTCCTGGACCACCCAACTTTTTTACCTCAATTTTTGCGCCACGGAGGTCACTGTTGCAGATAGAGAATTCAAATACCTTCTTTCTTAACTCGATTGGAAGATTTCTGACACCAAGCAGGCAATCTGACAAAATAGTTGGAAATTGCCGAGGGTCTCTTCTCAGAAATCGATTGACAGTGACAGCTTCCATCCAGCGCACATTGTTGATCTTTCAATCCCACCAAAAAATCTTGCAGAGATAGATGTAGATGTTCTGGAATTCGGTTATCAGCCGATGATACATGAAAGGGGGTACGGGTTTCCTGGTCTCTATTGGCCATCCCAGCTGCACGATGGGAATGACTGCAATTCGGTAATCAAGGGTGCGCCGATAAAGCACAGTAAGCCTGTGACAGCGAGAACCAACTTCAAGGCTCGGATCTGGCTCAAACAGTCCTGGCCCCGGATGTCGGCGGTCCGACGCCGGGGCCGAGCCGCCGCTCAGCCGCTGCCGGGCGGCCAGAACACTGAACTTCGGAATAAAAAAGCATTCTATGTACCTTGGATTTCACCACCCCTATCCCCTACCCGGAAAGGACCCTACCTCCGAGCCCTCATTCTGGGGCTCCGATCTCCGAACCACCCTGGGTTGTCATAATATACTACCCCCTCCCTCCAGTTTTGAGAGACCACCCCTCCCTCGACCACCCTTTCATCTTCACGGTGAGCTCTCGCAGCAATGGCGCGATGCCGATGCTGGCGCTGGAGCAGGAAGCTTCCCGAACCTCCTCCTCCGCCTCCTGCTGCTGCTGCTGCTGATCCACCGTTCAAGTCCCTGACGATCCAGCTCTAGTGCGGGAGCCATCATCTGATCCGTCCCAAGCAAGTGTGCCGACATCGTCGGCTACAGCAAAGGCAGGATGGGAGGGAACGGGAGCAGGAGGAGCAACGCCTCTCTCAGCATCTTCATCGAAGAGAAGAGCCATGTCTCCCATCTTGCAGGTTCTGAGGTTCTCAACACAGTCTACATCATCTTCTCAAATGAACACCCGCTCTTCTCCACCTCCACCTGAACCCATTTCATCGTCTCCGCCACCCGCTTCCCCACAATGCATCCCCCCCGATTCGCCTCAATACAACACCTCAGATCACAATCACCAACGACAGGCACTTCCTCCTCCTTCCTTCTCCAGGATAGCTTTTAACGGCAACGGAGCACCTGCATCGCATGTCAATGCGCTAGAAGGTTCATTGGCCACGAAATCGTTGACTCGCGGTCATATCAACGAGGCCAATGGAGAAAATGGGCTGAACGTTTCTCTCCACCATCCTCTCTTGTCATTGTCCGACTCATTTGCGGCAGAAACATACTCGCCGCCCGGGGACGAGAGGCCTGTGGCAGGACAGAGCATCTCAAATGGGTTTCATGGGCAAGAAAGCACGAACGAGAAGGCGAAGGCCTCTAGGAACTCAAAGCAGAGAAGTGAAGCTCAGAAGTACAACAAAAGCTCTGCTTCATATCCATCGTCATACTACTGCCAGCATGCAGAGACGGTTGTGTTGCGAACGGACTTCTCGACCAACGGCATCTCACACAGGCGGCTTGAGTTCATGCCAATGTCACTCGTCCAAAGTCCCCCACCTCATCATCCGCTGTCGATCGGAGGGCCGATCAAGGCAAGAAAGGGGATGCGAGTCATCCTCACCAAGGAGGGCTCCAAGGCGTTCGACGAACAGTGAGGAAGGAACCGACGGATCAAGTTTCATTGAACTGCTGGCAGGTTCCACAACATCTCCGGTGGAGGAATCGGGACCATCAGCAAAGTGTTGAACAACGGAGTAGACTTTTGTCTGTACTGCTCTGCATGCTCTAACTTCCCGGCAGATGATGTGTAAGGTAGTGTGGGATAATGATCCCAAGCAGCTTGAAGTATTTCCTTGTCTTTTCAGAGATTTCTGCCTCACTTCAACATTAGCACTGCTATCGCACTGGGAGGTTCTCCAGGTTTGAGCTTGCGCTCTACGACTCAGCGCTTCTTGCTTCCATCCCCCGTTCTGCTGGAAACTCTCCTGACAAGTAAGTGACATGCCACATGCATGCTCCCCTGCTGTTTCCTCCTGTTGGTATGACTTTGGACTCCCTTGATAGGACCGAGCAATCCCCTCAAGCAGGATTGCAACAGGCTTCTGACAACAGCGGAGGTAGGAAGCAACGGCTTGAGATTCTCTGTTATGAAGTCGATGTTGCCCGCAGACTCTCTGGTTGCGAGCCAAGAAGGTTATCAAGACCAGGACCTCGATCCAGTCACTCTAGAGCTGCGCAAGCATGGCATCTTTCCTCCCCCGGCATCCTCCCGTCAGGTGCACGCGAAGGCGGAGGAGGGGCGTCGATATTCGCTGACCCGACCTCTCAGCGAGCTGCCAACTCTGTTCACTCGGACTTCGAGGGGGTCCCGATGACCTTGAGGACGTCGAGGCTCAAAAGGCTATTCGATCGCGACAGAGATGTAGGAGTGGGTGACGAAGAACTGCGAGTTTGACGCGGCTGACGGCAGGGCTTCTTCACCTGCGTCTTCACCTCGGAGATTCAGCAGAAGCTGAAGAACTCAACCCGCGATGTTGTTCTTCCTCATTGTGACGTTTCTCAGCTCATCTCTTGCCAGGTATCAGGAGATTCTACTCAAAGGTCAGAGGTCAACATGGCATGGGCCTGACGCATCGGGTCGAGAAGCTCGTTCATGTCTAATCATTCTCATTGGCAATTTGTGGATCTTTCCTCCCTTTCTTTGACCTTCTCACCTCAAAGATTGTACATGTATGCAATGAATGTATCACAGATTGATGCGGGGGATGTTGGAGAAGGAGCAATGACAGAACAATTTTCTTGGCGCCTAACATGTGAGGTTCACAAAACCAGTTTTCGGCAAACATCATTAGAAATGGTTTATTGGCAGATTTCCATCAAACGTCTGCAGATTTCTGCGATGTCATCTGAAACTTGAGGTTCTTCGAGAGTTTGCGAGATTTTCTTCTTGATCGTCTCGACGACATGCCCTTCAATCCCACCTGCGAAAGTTTCAGACACAGTGGACCGGCTAACATCACCTCAGCAACCACAGCAACAACATCATAATCATTATCGTCATCGTCGTCATCATCAACAACCAGGACAAATAGTAGTAATGACAATCATTTCCACTGTCAGCATCATCACCATTCACAACACCTTTCTCACCGGAATTCGCTCTCTTCTCCAACAAACTTTCCATCGCCTGGAAAGATGCCTGCTGCACCGCGTCTGCACTATCGTCCATCCTCAACAACAGCTGTTTCCTCATCTCCTCCTCAAACTCCAACATGTCACGTTGATTCTTCGTAGCTATCATCACATTCTGAGTGAGATAACACGCCAGCTCGCGTGTCTTGGCGTTCTCCTCCTCCATCATTGCGCACAGAGTATCACCCACCAGCTTCATCGCCTCCTCTTCGAACAGAACCTCCGCCTGCTCCCCCGCGCTCGCCATGTAAGCGGCTTCCAACGCTGTCTGACAGAGCAAGGCTCGCTCCGCTCGTTCATCTTCCACCTTCTTCCTCTCGGCTTGCTCCTCACCCTCCTGCTCCTCTCCCCTTTCAGCGCTCGTCGTCTGCCTCGCCCACAGAGCCACCCTGAGGAGGGCGAGGAAGAGCTGCTTGAAGAGCTGCGGAGGGAAGGGGAGGGAAGGGTCTTGGACGACGAAGTTCACGAAGATAATGCACTCAAGGAGGAAGGAGGAGGAGGAGGAGGAGCTGGGAGAGGAGGAGCTGGGAAGCTGCACGAGGCGGACGAGCTCAGCAAGGAGGAGCTGGAGGAGCGGCTGGGAGACGTCCTCCTCGTCCAGCTGGCGGTAGAGGACTTCGAGCAGGGCGAGCTCGTGCAGGCAGCTCAGCCTGGTGAGCCCGGGCATCAGGGTCTCGAGGAAAGAGGAGAAGTGGTCGGAGAGGAGGGAGCTGATGGAGGAGCAGGCCGTGCTCGCGATCGCCCGCAGAGCTTGATGGCAGGAGAACTGCACGCTCCTCCAGTCCCTCGCGTACTTGTCCAGCTCCTCAGAGCTCGCAGGGAAGTCGGTGACCTGCTTCTGCCCGAAGCACCAGGCCTTCACCTGCCAAGGAGCGTGAACGAGTGAAGACAACCTCCTCCTCTCTCCCTCCCCCTCTCATCATCGTCATCCTCCCCTTACCGCCCTCTCCCCCCCCCTCCCTCCTCACCTGCACAGACACCACGATCTGCGTCATCTGCCTCCTCGACTCCTCGTCCAGCTTCTCCCCGCAAGACTCAGCAAGCTGCTGCGAGCAGCGAACGAGCTGAGAGGACAGGCGAGGGTCACGCGACTCGGAGATCGAGGAGCAGTCGAGGGCGGCGATCATGGTCGACACGTGGGGCACGAGCCAGGAGGAGGAGCAACCCTCGCACATGGCCCGCAGGATTTCCACAGCAGCGCAACGTCGGTGGACGTCCAGGTCAGTCTCTCCTCTAACCGTCGGGAGCAGGAGCGGCATGTAGACGGAGGGGTCGATGAACTCCCCGACGGTCCGCGCGCACAGGAGGATTTGGCGAAGCAGCAGCCTCGCCTCCGGGTCTCCCTCCTCCATCTCTGCCAGGGAGCGGAAGCAGCACTTGGTGAAGGACTCGACCATTGCCCGAACGTCGTTGGTCACCCAGTACTCAGTGTAGAGGACGAGGTAGTACAGCAGCTGCGCTGCCATGCTCCTCGTCTTGGGCTGCCAGTCGTTGAGCTCCCGCACCAGCGTCGGGCACAGCCTCCTGAAGTTGTTCCTGACCACCATGCGCGCTCCCAGCCGCGGCCTCCTGGTGAAGGGAGGCTCGTGCTTGCAGCTCCTCCACCTCTCCGTCGCGTTCTGCTCCGACGGGGTCTTGTGCCCGTACTCAAGGAAGTCTCGCAGCTCCTGCTTGTCTCGCTCGTTGTTCTCCCTCTCGTTCTCGTGCGTCTCCCCCAGCCGCTCCATCGCCTCGAAGGTCGCCATGCGGAGAGGAGGGCACGGATCGCAGAGCCCATTGAGGAGGTAGGGGAGGAGCCGACTCTCGTGGTCCCAGCGATCGTTGAGCCGCGTCATCCAGTCGATGAGCACGGAGATGAAGTTCTCCCTGACTTTGGCGCTCGGGTCACTTGCGAGGAGGGCGAGGAAGTTGTGGCGGGGCTGCCGCTCCTCGGGCTTCACAAGTTTCCCCTCCTCCCACACTCCCCCGGAGAAGAACTGCCAGACTGGAATGACGTTGGGTAGCTGCCAGGCCACCAGGTCCTCCACCAGCGTTACGTTCTTGTCCCCCACGAGCAGGAGGGAGCCGAGGGCAGTCACTGCAACTTTCCTCACAGACGAGTGTTTGTGCCTGAGCGTGCTCTTGAGGCTATCTATGAGCTCCCCGTACCTGTAGCGTGGCTCTGCTCCAGCCCTCGTCTCCTCGTACCTCACCACCATCTTCATGCTCTCCTTCTGACAGCTGCAGAGGGAGACGAGAATGCTGCAGGCTTCCTTCCTGACCGCTGGATGGGAGTCCTGAGGAGAATTCAGAAGAGGAGAGACGAGGGAATGAAAGGGACAAGGAGGAAGGGGAGGTGATGGAAGGAGGAAGTCGAAGAGGAGGAGGAGGAGGAGGAGGAGGAGGAGGAGGAGGAGGAGGAGGAGGAGGAGGAAAAGAGGTGGTGGTGGTGGAGGAGAAGGAGGAGGAGGAAGAAGGGGAGAAAGAAGAGGAGGAGCGAGAAGAAGAAGTGAGAGGAGGAGGAGCGAGAGGAGGAGGAGGAGGTGGTGGTGGCCGACAGGCAATTCAAGGAGGAAGGCAGTCTGACCTGGAGGGAGGCATGGAGGATGGAGTGAATCGCGTCCATGTACTGCCCGACCACCTTGGGGCAAAGAGCCACTAGACGTCCAAGGATGAGGACGAGGAGGAGCCGGATCTCCTCCGAGCTCTCCTCAGCAGGCGATGTTGCGACTCTGTACACCATGCACGGGATGACGATAGGAAGCACGCTGGAGACCGAGGTGACCTTGTCCAGGAAGGAGAGCAGACATCGCATCGCCATATCACGGATCCTCTCAACAGGATCCGCCATGAGTTTGATCAGCTCGATCGACAACTCTTTCCAGACCTTGTCTAGCACAACAAGCGGCGTGTCGTCATTGCGCACTAGCAGGCTGATCCTACCAAGGGCCGCCCTCCTCTTTCCCATCTCCTCGCTCGCAAGGAAGCTGATCTCTCTCTGCAAGCTCTCCACGTCCTCTGCCTCCCTGTGTACAAGGCCCATGAGCCCTCGACCTGCACGCAACGTCATCCTCTTTCCCGCTCCTCTCCCATCCCACCTGAGATGGCCTTGGGATCGACGAAACTTGACTTGAGCTCAGCCGTCTCGACAATCCTCTCCCTCCCCTCGTTCGACACCTTCCCCATCAGCTGCGACAGCGCTCCCAAGTCCATCTGCAGGTTGAAAGTCTCAGTACCCATCCCCATCCCACACAGATAGCAGCAAAGGGAGTAGCGGCGGCAGCGGCAGCATGCATCACGGGCAATAGCGTAAGGAGCAGGCAAAGTTGAACCGAGGAGCACGCGAGAGAGATAAAAGATCCCGGGTCTGAGCCTGAGCCTGAGCAGTCTGATCTCGAGCCTGGGGAACCACACGCACGATAGGAGCAGGTGGAGCAAGAGGAACAGGAGGAGGGAGTTCAGGTTCATATACAGGTACAGGACCAGCAGCAGCAGCAGCAGCAGCAGCAGCAGCAGCAGCAGCAGCAGCAGCAGCAGCAGCAGCAGCATGAGTTGTAGGATCATGAGAGCAGGAGCATATACAGCAGCAGCTGCGTTAGTCACAGGAGTAGCAGCAGAGGCAGGGATTCGGGCAGGAGTTGGAAGGCAGGAGAAGCAGAAGAAGGGGCAGGAAGAAGCAGCTGCAGCAAGAACATCAGGACATGAGAACGATGGGGGAGAGGATGAGTCAGCATGAGCATGAGCAGCAAGATCATGAGCAAGATCATGAGCATGAGTATGAGCATGAGTATGAGCACAGAAACAGGAGGAGCCGAGGAGCACAGGATCAGGAGGAGCCGAGGAGGAGGAGGAGGAGGAGCACAGGAGCACAGGAGCAGCAGGAGCACAAGAGCACAGGAGCACAGGAGCACAGGAGCACAGGAGCACAGGAGCACAGGAGCACAGGAGCACAGAAGCACAGGATCAGGAGCAGGAGCAGGAGCAGGAGCAGGAGCAGGAGCAGGAGCAGGAGCAGGAGCAGGAGCAGGAGCAGGAGCAGGAGCAGGAGCAGGTTGATATTTTCCTCGCCCTTGCTACATTGTTGAGCCCTGCCGTTGATCCAATAGCCCCATAGACTCGAATAACCGACCCCGGCTGTGCACCTCACATGTTATAGTACCCGTACTTTGAGTACCCCTACCACCTTTCTGATTTTTAAAAACACCCCCAAAAATTCTCAACATACACCAATCCACGACATACCCTACCTACCCTTTTCACTCAACATCCACCCAGTACCCCCCGCAGCCTCCCCGACAGCCATGCGGTCGCCGCGTGGCTTGTCGCTTCCGCTGCCCTTCATCTTCCCCATGCCGTCCTCTCTCACTCCTCTCTTCCCTCTCCTCCCTCCCCTCCGAGCCTGGCTCCTTCTTGCCTGCAGCTTGTGGCTGATCTTCAGCCCGACATGGCTGTCTTGGCTCCTGGCCCGTCCCCGTCACCTCGGTCCACCTTTCCATACCGGTCTCCTCAACATCGGAGTGATCGGGGACTGGGGCGTGCAGAGGATGCCATGGGAGGAAGAGAAGGAAGGACGGCAGGAAGCGCAGGAGGTTGTCGCCGCACTCATGGGAAGCTGGTCGAAGAGAGCGCATCCTAAGTTCATCGTGTCTGTTGGGGACCATGCCTACCCAAGGGGGCTGAAGGGAAGCAACGAGACCGCACGGCTCAGGAGAGGATGGAAGGAAGTCTACACAGGAGGAGAGCTCTCTCATGTCCCGTGGTACCTCACTCCCGGCAACCATGACTGCGTGGGTGATGTGCAGGCCGAGTACAAGTACGCGGAAGAGGAGAGCAGGTGGAGGATGAGCCCGTTCCAGGCTGCTCACTTTCCCCTCCCTGGCTCCACACAAAACACCTCTCTCCTCCTCATTATGCTCGATATGTGCACGTGGGTCTGCGGAAAGGAGGGGGAGCCAAACTTCCGCTGCCTGGCGTCGGAGAAGGACGGCATGCCAGCTGTGAGGCATATGGGGAGCGCGAGGCGGCAGGAGATGATCTCTTGGCTGGGGAAGACACTCAAGGATCAGTGCGGGAGGAGAGACGGAGGAAGGAGCTGGTGCATCGTTGCTGGGCACTGGCCGGTCTTCAGCTTCAGCGGGAACGGGCCTACGGACATCCTCATCGAAGAGCTGTTGCCCGTGCTCAAGTCGCACAGAGTTCACGCGTACCTGTCAGGGCATGACCACAACATGCAGCATGTGCGAGTGAGAGACAGCTCCCTCCCTCACTTCTTCGTCAACGGTGCTGGAGGATACGACCTGCATCCAACGCTCAAGGACAGCGTCGATCAGTCTCTGAGAGCGACACAGGCGAGCAAGGCGACCCTGGTCAAGATACACGTCGGCCATGGCTTCCTGTCCATCGCCATGGATGACGAGCAAATGCACGTGTCAATGTTGGGAGTGTCGGAGAAGAGAATCTCTGATAACCTCTCAGACCATGTCGTTTATGAGTACTCCATCCCCTTGTAACGTCGCGGGGCCCGACTGGAAGTCTTGTTGTTTTGTTCTTTCACGCTTTCTCTATTCCTCCTTCATTAATTTCCAAGTCTCTCTCTCTCTTTTTCTCTCCGTGTTTGAACTATTTATTCTTTTGCACAAAAAAATCCAGCAATACAGGCAAAGCTTCTGCGTCGGAACCTCCCACAGGGATGCTGAAGGAGGGAGGAGGGCAGCATTACAATTACTTTCCATCCTCCATCGAGTTGACGGACGAGGAGGTTTCCAGGCTGTTCTGAGAGTCGATGCGGTCCATGCTAGACAAGCTGTTGTCCGATCCTCCTCGCTGCAGAGAGCGGCCCTCCTTGGCAGTCTACCGCAGGTGTGAGAAGACAACAGTACGAGAACGGGGAGTGATGCGATAATTATGATGATGATGATGATGAGGAGGAGGAGGAGGAGGAGAGGAGGAGGAGGAGGAGGAGGAGGAGGAGGAGGAGGAGGAGGAGGATGTGGTGGTCGAGGAGAAGGACCTCACCTGTGTAACAACCACTTGGCCTCCTTCGACCTTCCACAGCTCATTGCAGACTCTCGAGACGAAGTTCTGGTGATGGGAAATGACAAGGATGGCACCATCGAACTTCTGCAGGGCAGCAGCAAGAGCATTGAGAGTCTCGTTGTCTAGGTAGTTCGTCGGCTCGTCAAGAGCGATCAAGTGCGGCTTGTTCCACACAGCAGAAGCAAGCACCAGCCTGCATCGCTGTCCTCCAGACATACCCTTGATCCTTCCTGACTGCGCCAGACGGTGAGAAAGGCCAAAGTCGGCAAGATGCTTCAGGATCTCCCTCTCTGTGCATGGCCGGATCTGCCGGGGTCGTCAACACCAGCCTGTCCCCAGCTCTGCTCTCACCTCAGCTCCACTCTGGTAGGCTTGAAGCTTCGCGTCATAGTTCAGGCACAACTTCATCACATACGGGTCCTGTCGGTCAAACATCAGACAAGAACATGATACAGCATTCTCGCTAACTCACCTTCCTCTTGATCGACCCCAAGGGCTCCCAGAACGTCCCGTCGTCCTCTCTCCCAGCTCTCACAGTCTCGTAGCTCAGTTCTCCTCCACGAATCGCACGACCAACGATATCCTTGATGTTTCCGATCTTGTTCCTCAGCGCCTCCTCCTCCGGCGTTAGCCTCATCGTCTCACGCTTCGCCAACTGCGCGCACAAGTCAGGTCCCATCCTCACAACTCGGCGAGCAACAGGCGCAAGTAGACCTCACCTCTTTGTCTAGACCGGTACGAAACCTCTCCTGCACGTACTGCCAAGGCTTCATGTGAAGATGCTCTTCCAAGTGATGCATCGACGACTGAGCGATGTAGGCCACACGCAGGTTCTGGTGCCTCGCGATCTCTCCCACGTGCTTCCCTGTCCCCTGATCAACAGCAGCATCTCCCACCAGCAAGCGCAGCAGCGTCGTCTTGCCCGCCCCGTTCACTCCTAGGAGCCCAACTCTGCTCTTGACACACAACTTTGCGTTGACCTTGTCTAGTGTGGGCTTGTCGGAGTTGGGATAGTAGAAGGTCAAGTCTTTCGCTTCCACCACAGGCTTCGTCTTCGACTTCACTCCGTCCAGCTTCCCAGGATCGGGGAGAGTGATGACGGCGCTAGCTCCGCTCTCCGTCATGGAAGGAAGAGCCTCCATGACGTCAGGGCGATTCATGGCGAAGTTGGCGAACCCTCCCCCGTAGTAAGTGAGCTGGAGGTTGGCGATGTGCATGACGTCTGTGCATGTCTTGCCGAGGAACTCATAGTCGTGAGAAACAATGCAGACAGTTGTGTTTGTCAGAGTGACAAGATAGTCGGCGAGCCAGGCTCTCGAAGCGGCATCCAAGTGGTTGGTCGGCTCATCAAGGAGGAGGAGGTCGCACTTCTGTGTCACAGCAGTGGCGATGGCAAGCTTCATACGCCATCCTCCAGACAGCTCGGCAACTGGTGACGCCATTCTCTCCTCAGTGAAGCCGATGGAGGCCAGCGCGTCCTGGATGAGCTTCTTGTCCGTTCCCTCGGTCCTTTGCTGCTGCTCCATGAAGTCAACGACTGTGCAGTCCAAGTCCACGTAAACTTCGTGCTGAATGTAGAGAACTTTGATGTTCTGAGGGAAGTTGGACACCTCTCTCGACGCGATACGGTTGAGAAGAGTGGTCTTGCCGACTCCATTGTTGCCTACAACTCCGTACCTATGGTTGCGGAGGAGCTGCAAGTTCGTAGGTTTCAGGAGAGTCTTTCCCGCATAAGCTAGAATAACGCCCCTACAGTCAACGAGGTAGTCCAGCTCCTCCGCATCGTCATCGTCTCCCTGATTGGGGTAGCAGCTGGCATGTATGTTGTGGCACACAGTGCTGAGCTGCTCTTCCTCGATGGAAGAGTCAGCGAGCAAGGGGAGCAGGAGAGACACCAGCTGCCTCGTCCTCACTCCTTCCTCTAGCGCTCCAGCTATCATGGCGCTAACGTGCTGCTCCACCATGGCCGGCAGCGTCAGCGTCGCCAACTCCTTGCTCACTGCCGCCTGCATGCTCATCCCTTGAACGACTGTACCCCTACCCCCTGGAAACAAGGAAAATAGAGGGGTTAGTGGGGGTGATCTCACGTGTCTCTTCTCCCTATAAGGGGTTCTGGGGACACACCACCCCTGAAAATGGGGGTACTTTGACAACCTACCCACTAGTTAACGTGCAAAACTCATAACAAAATACCCCATGGACCCTACGAGTAATCACCCCCACCCCATCTTCGCACTATCAAGGTTGAGGAGGGCCAAGGGACGTTGAGTGGACAAACAAGTTTTGATGGTGGAAGACGGAGAGCGACGGACGTTGTCGTCAGAGGATGGCGAGGTTGTGGCATGTCAGCGATATCCGAGGAAGGTCTAGAATATCAGTGAGCTCCTGCAGCAATGGAGACTGCGAGGAGGGGAGTAGGAGAGCGATGGCCGCAACACGGGGAGGACTGAAGGTGATGGCCTGCGTTTTTGTGCAAAAGTGAGATGCTGGATGAGGACTATGGTGGCCAGGATACAAACAGCAAGGATAGTCTGTCGGGCAAGGTTGGATTGAATGACTGAGGCAACACACACTGTCACTCCGAACGTAAGGCATTAAGTGTGTAGATTATTGGACACGTGCCCCGAACTATTTATGAAGAAGGATTTGGAGGTGGGTATTTGTTGGTTAAACAATGTGGAATACAAAGTTTAATGAGTACATTTGACGATATGATTGTTGTTGTTGACCCATTGAAACCGATGGCAACAAGGTTGCACGTCCTCTCCTCTCTCTTCGCTGTGCTTGAGACGGAAACTTTGAGAACCTGATTGAAGCAACAAGCTTTCTGATTCTATCAAGAATCATTGCTCATCGCTTCAGCATGGGACCAACCTTCAGTTCATTTGATCTCAGACGTAACGTCCGCTCACATAGGATCATTTCAGATACTGTGGTTGTGTTCTTCTCACTGCAAAACATCGCTGCTTCTGCTGCTTCTCAGCACATGGCAGGAAGACAAAGGACATTGGATGGGTGACGGTCAGTCGGTCTATCAGCTCTTGTGCTTTCAGGTGCATCATGTACCATCTTTCGCTCTCAGGGCTGCGTGCATCTGGTTCTTCGATCCTTCACTCGCTTTGACCTCTCCGATGAGATCGAAATGAGACTTCTTCTACGCCTGTTCCCCCTGCCACCCCCTATAAATACCTCTGAAAGAGGGTAGGGGTTAAACAGAAGGAGTCGAATGAACCATCGCGATCTTGCGGCTTTTCGAATTTACTACCGGAGAGGGGGTCGCGAGGTAGCAACTGCCTGGGTATGGCGAGGAGGTCGGCGATGGATGGAGCGACGAGGGGAGAGGGGAAAAGAAGAGGAAGGGAGGAGACAAGAAGGCGATGATCAGAAAGATTCGAAGGACTGGTACAGAGGAGAAGCACATGCGAGCATTGCTTCACAGGAAAGTTTCGAATTGCTGGTGATCCAAGTGACTTGAAGGAGTTGCTTCTTGTCCTCGGAGTTGGGTTTGAATTTCATGACCGAGCTGATGGTTGAGATGGACAGAGCTCAGAGCAGAGACCAGACCTCTGGTCAGGCATGGCAGATGCCGGACATCGCCATGATGCCTCATTGCAAGTCTTGCAAGCAGCAAGGATGCATGCACTTTCGACGAGGGTTTACCCACTTGCTTGCCCTGAATCAGGTCCGCCTTCACTCCCCTATCAAGTGGTGAGGGAGCTTACCTGCCTGGCTTCTATCAGGGATGCCCTACTCCAACTTTGGGAACAGACAAGAGCATCGACGAATCAGCGGTAAACTCCTGAACAATATCTCCCATGGCGCTGCTTCTCACTTTCTTTCAGCCCAGCCATGATATTGACGTTTTGATCCCGTCCTCCTGCCCCTGTCATGGTATGTAGAGAGAGAGAGAGGATGGTAGTCTCTGCCGTTGAACCCTGCTCACAGGCTGCAACGAAACTATTATACGAGCCGACGTGAACAGGGGTAACGAGAAGAGCCTTACCTACAACTTTGTTCCCCGGACTAGCGAGTGGAAGGCGGAGCCCTCAAGGTATCGCTACAAGAGAGACACGGAGCTCGTCATAGGCTGCACGGGAAGGCATCGCATCATTGAGTCCCCCAAGGCTGGTCGATACGCTCAGCTCTGGTGCCGCACCTGCTGCAACTGTGAGGCTACGGGGAGGCCCATAGGGAACCTTGTTGGATGTGCCAACGCGGCTCACTGGCACACGGTAACGAACAGGAGCTACCACGAAAAGACCCCATTCCATCAGCTCGCCAACAACCTCCTGCAGTCCTCGTACAACGAGGCCCTCCAGTCCGGCATGCCCTTCGAGAAGGCCATCGGGCCCATCGGCATCGCCTACTATCGTAACGGTATAGACCAGCGAGGGATCGAGACGTCAAAGACCAAGTACATACCCGAGAAGCCCCTTCAGACTAGTCTGTTCAGTGCTGAAGCACTGGGTGGACACTCACACTTGTTCAGTGATCACCTGGAGAACAGGTGAGGAAACGTATTGCCAGGGGTGAGACTGATGGGTTGTGACTTGTACAGGATCGGCATGAAACGAGATCGGGGGATTTTCGATGCAGAGATTGCCATGACGCCAAACGCAATGCTCACTCCACCCCTCTACTACTTTGATAACAAGGTGAGGCTCGGGGATCTGCTATCTGCCCCCCAGCGCTGACAGCAGCGGGCAGACTTGTCAGTGGAAGATCAACTCAGCGTCAGACTTGAGAAGACAGTTTGCTTACGAGAGTCCCTTCGGAGCTTCACGGAGCAGATCGCATCCTATAAGGGGCTCCAGCATGGCCATGTATGTTTCTCCTTGCCCTAGTATGTGGACCTGATCTTCATATCTGCAGCTCTGCCATGCCGCAGATGTCTGTAGCTGACCTCGGTTCTTCGAGCATAATGGCGTCTGGATTCCCGTCCAAGGCTCTAGCTTCTCCCATCCAACGTCCATTCCCCGGCAGCAATGCTGAGCTCTCCATGCTCGGCGGCTCGTTCTCCCTCACTGAGGGTATCGCCTCGTCTATCAACGGGCTCAGTGGCAAAGGACAGAGCACAGCCCGTCAGGCCGAGTCTTGTCCATTCCTGGAGGAGCCTAAGGGCAACCTATGGGATCTTCCAGACATCTTAACCACGGGAGGAAGGTGAACCTCTACCCGCGATCCTGTTGTTGTCGTTATACTCATATCAGTGTTTCAGAGTTTCCGGGAGCTGCTTCTAGTGACGATTTTTTTCTTTTTGAGGATTTTCTGTTGAGATTTTGCGTGAAAGTGTGATATTATCTGTACGATGATGTGATTTTGATTGGCTGTATTAAAACAATAAGAAGGCTGCTTGGACCTCACTTGAACCATGTCAACTGAAACTCTTCCAGACTCTGGCAGGGAGACATGTTCAGTGCTTCTCAGCGCGTGTTTGTGCGTTTCATGTCGCTCACCTTGTTCTTTATCTCCTCCACCCAATGCTCCGTCAGCCATTGCTCTAGCCTGCGCCAGGTATCACATGCAGCAGCAGCATCCTCGCACCTACTTCTCCCCACAGGGACAAACGCGATTCGAGTCCGGCTGCGGCTATCAGAGGACGAGAAGGTAGCGAGCAGGTCTACCTGTCTGATCCGGCAGGACAGCGGGTACTCCCCGGGCTTCTGGTTCACCAGACACTGAAATTGATGACGTCATCAGGCAACGACCTCCTCCCTTAGCACGAAGCATCACCATGTTGTACTTGTGGTTGAAGGCTGGAAGGTCGTTGCCGAACAACGCCTGGCTGTATAATCTCTTAAGTAGCTATCTAAGTGAGAACGAGGAACCAACTACCTGCACGATCCCTCACAAAGTCCCCCTAGGGCTTCTTTGACCCTCTAAGGGCACAGGAGAAGTGAACCAGGAGGAAACAAGAACATCTTCTCACCTCGCAGTCGTTCACTTCTAGTCCATGCTCCGCTCTACGATTATTGTCAACCAGCTCCTCCCGTAAGGGACCAGCTCACCGGCAGCTGAGGTTTCTCTTCAGACATGCGTCCTCGCAGCTCTCCCCCTGCTCCCCTACAGGGCGTCTCAAGGTAGTTGGAGAGGGCAGGCACATTCTTACCTGCTATCACATGCAGATTCACCCCCGCCTCGTGTGGAGTTGATTTGTTTCCCGTGTATCGCACTGATACCATCACCCACGTCAGCACATCGCAGTGGACAAGCTCTGCCCGTACCATGAACTTCCTTCAAGAAGGTCTCCAGAGTTGATGGCCCACGAATGATCCACCTGCGGTCCAGCTCATTGAAAGGATTGAAAGATACTCCCTCCTCACTCTGTGTCAAACTTGAGCCAGTCCCCCCGAGGATGGTCCATGTGGAAGACAAAACAATCCGGCAAAATCTACAGATGTCAGTCTTTCAGTGCGCTGTTCTCAACCTGCACTACCTTGTACTTCATTCTGGACCTCCACACCTCATAGCACTGACCCGTCTTGTCATTTCCATAGCCCACGAATGCGCTTTCATATCTTCACACCCCGCTTACTCTTCATCGCATCATTTGGGAGCCTCAAACCTTGGGATCCGCTTGTTGGCGACATAGTATGGCTCGTAAGGCATTCTATACTGAATCTCGTAGATCTCACTCTGCGATGGCTGCTCAGAGGTCGGCGGGAGGGACAAGGAAAGTTGTCACCGACACTCTCCATCTCTCATAGTCTGTGTACTTGTGAGCGATGTCCCTCCCTTTCTCTGGATGAACCTGCCACGTGGCCAAGTGAGTGTTTCTATCGCAGAGTCGTCGACTGACCTGACTGACGGCCGGACCGAGTGACAGGAGTTCCATCTTGTTTCGAGGTATGCCTTTCTCTGCTCCTCTTTCAGGTTCAACCTCGTTCAGTTCGGCAGCAACCTTTGTCTTGCATTTGGAAGGCGGGAAGCACGTAAATTTCGTTGCCTCCTGTCTTTCCCCATGGCTGCGACTGGGCTTACAGAACGATACCAGAGAAACAAGGCAAACTTCGAGACGCGGCAGCAGCAGGTCGTATACGTCATCGTTTGGCACGAAGTCTGCGTCAACCAACACCATCCACTGAGTTCGACACTGGCACCAAGACTGTCAACTGCAGAGGCTGAAGAAGTGCTTCACCTTATCCATGGCCAGATTCCTCAAGGTGTTCACTGGGTAGAGCCTGAGCCAGCGTCAGCAACGTCGTCACCTGTCGTCTTGCAATCACTGACAGACCTGCCAGGATGTAGATCTGCCAGGACGAGATGGAAGTCAACCTGAAATCTCATCGTCATGACCTTAATTTTCTCCTCCCCCACTCATCTCACCCTGTCGCGAAGCGGCCGAATGAGGTCGAGGTCCCGCTGCAGTTCTCTGCAGTACAACGTGGCTGATATGGGGCCCTTCCACCTGCATGCGCCCTCACGATGAAGCCGATGAGCAAGAGTTTGCTCGCCTCGCCATCATCGCTTTGAAGCCATCCAGGCGGTCAGACGTGAGCTGAGTTACCCAGCTCACGTCGATCTCCTTCAACGCCAGGTTTGTTGCAAGGAGAGTGTGCACAAGGACCTGGACAGTGCAGCGCGTTCAAGACTATCTCTTACACCTCATCAAGAACACTCGTATCCTCCCACCTGCGAACCATGATTTTCCGCTTTAAAGAAGACATCCTCGGCTAGAATTCTCGGCCCTAGGGTTCTCTGTGACTAACGGATCAGAGAATTCTATACATAGAGGCAGAGCTGACCTGTCTCTCCAGGAAGCTATCTGTCATTCCAGCAATCGAAGAGACAAGAAAAGTCAGACCATGCCCAGGGACCAGGAAGACACATATAGAATCTAATCAAGGGACTAGGAAGACACATATAGAATCTAATCAAGGTACTAGGAAGACACATATAGAATCTAATCAAGGTACTAGGAAGACACATGGAATCCAATCATTGATCCCTAGGGGGTGTTACCGGTGATCTCGCCGTAGGTGGGAACAAACAGTCCTCCTCTCTGACTGACGTTAATCTTATGCTCTTGCTCATTCTCCTCATGCTTCTTCTCGCCCGGTCCTCCAATCTCGTTGACCTGCTCTGATGCCCTCTCCTCAGCTGGAGACGTCAGGACGATCTTCGGGGTGCTGAACTCCCCGCTACTCCCCTGCTCATGCTGAGGGTGCTGTTCCCCTAGATCAAGGAAGCAGCGAGAGACGACAAGGAGGAGGAGGAGGAGGAGGATGGGAGGGCTGAGGACCCTGTAGGCTTTGGAGCAGAGCAGCAGCTGGCGCAGCAGCTGCCGGTGCCTCATGCCATAGCCCAACCTAGAGTTGGACTGCTGCCCTACACGTTCATGCTAGTAGACTGGATAGGAAGAGGTTGCTGTCTTTTGGTCGACGGACTGAGGGTACTTGGACAGGTTACGAGCCCTCGTCTTAGTTGTTGTTCAGTCCCAGGGTCGTTTCGGAGTTCAGCTTCCGGGCCGCTCCCGGCCCCAGCCGAGCAGGCGCCCGGCAGTTTCAAGAAGAGCAGAATCGTTACTTCTTTTTATGAGTGCATGACAAGCGAAGAGCGAGGCCAAGACAAGAGGGAGATAACTTGACGCTGCAACATCATGACATCCCATCTCCTCCTCCTCCTTGCTTCCATTGTTGTTCCTCACACAGTGACAGCTCAAACAATGAGCTACAACCTAACCCATGTTGATTCATGTCCTGCTGGAGATTGTGTCCTGCCTGTTGACGCCAACATCTCCGTTTCAAGCTTGGGCGTCGGCAATGATGTCAGCGTGTACGTGTCTATCGACCTGTATCCGATATATTCTGTCGCTGGGATCAATCCAGCTATCTATCACAGCAACACTCAGCTGAAGTACACAATCATCAGAGTAATATTCCCGTATGGCTTCAATGTATCGAACTCCGTTGTCAACATATCAGGAGGAGGAAGGTTTGGAGAGGGGGTGACTGGACTCGAAGGAATTACAAACCGAGCTGGCTTCATCAAAATTGCTCCATCTTCTAAAGGGTCATTGACCATAGAGCCGGCGGTGACCGACAACGTCCTAGTAGGAACTTGGTTTGGCTCATCTGACCCGTGCTCGAGCACTTCTTGCACGAACATGTTTGAGATGATGACGTATTCAGATACAGATGCTGATGTCCAATCATCAGATGTGAGAGGCACAATTCAAAGAATTCACTTCACGATATCTGGAGTTGTCAACCCGTTGTATACTCCTGGCGAGATTCCCGGTGCGCTGCAACAGCGCAAAGTACAATTTGGAATCCAGATTTTTGATGCAACAGACGAATTGCGTGGAACTACAAAAGTTCCCAGTTACAAGATGAAATTTTATAACAATCGTATCAACGATCCACAGTTGAACCGAATGACGCATTATTGGTTCAGCAGAACCGGAAATACTGCTGTGATTCTGACGAGGAACAAATTGTCCTATGTGAATCTATCTTTGTCAACACCTCTCTCCTCACAGCTAACCTCTGCTCAAGTCACGTTCAAGACTGTCACAGGTATCCCAGTGGGCGGAAGCATTTTCGTGAAGTTTCCATCTACCTTCAAACTTCCTCCCTTCTCAAACGTTTTAGCAACAGTCAACGGCATGAAAGGTGCTAACACCTCCGTTAGTGTGAAGGGAACGTCATTTCTTCGGGACAGCACAAGCATCCTCTTGTACAGAATTCAAAACGCCATTGGCCGCAAGCAAGAGATCACGTTGAATATCACAAGTGTTCTTACACCCTCTGATACGGTATCTGGTCCGGTACAAGTGGAGAGCTGGAATGTAATGAACGTGACGCTGGATTATGGCACGAGCAATGAGGTTGAATTGCGGCCTCAGTTCCTCGCATCAGTCTATCCCCACTGTCAGATGCAGCAGACATGGGATGAGATCATGGAGGGAATCAGAAGAGGAAACCAGACACACAAGAGCGGAGGACTGGGAGATCTTATGATTCTCAACAAGTTCGAGGTATGGGTATGCAGCCTGCGAGACGCCTGTGCAAAGCACAACATTTCATTTTGTTACGTCTTTGACGAGCAGAAGAAGATGTTTGTGCCATGGTATGTATGCATCATGCTTTGCTCTTGCACCTGCCTCGATCTCATTTCTGTCGCAGGGGCCTAGCGGACGAGCTCATGCTCGTGTAGCAGTAGTAGTGCTGTATTGTAAACCAGTAAAGAGACCTGGTACTCCATACCAGCCCGCCGCATGGCAACGAGGAGCAGAACAAGTCCGTCAGAACCCTCGCAGCTCTCGTATTGGAGTGGTTTTAGTCAACTGCACTCAGCTCCCAGGCGGGCCTACTGCTACTGTAATGGCGGGGAGTCGCACACGGCTGGCAGAGGAGGAGAAGGAGGAAAAGGGAGAGGACGAGGACGAGGAGCTCGTGGCAGGAGGAAAACGAGAAGGCAGCAGCATCGTGCGATAGGTCGAGCCCTCCGCAACTTGTTCTGGCTCTTGTCGACGATGTTGAAAACGGAAGAGACAGTGGAGTCGGAGGATGCAGACTCGGAACATGCTGCGTATGCTCGTCGCCTGCTGCAAGCTGCTGGAATGAAGGCCAAGGCAAACATCAACCTGCAGGAAGCTATCGATATATTTCGCAGGCAGAAGGTCCGAGAAGTCGTGTTCTACGCCTGCTTCCTGCTTCTTTTCACGACATCTACATACCTTCAGCGCGATGTTCATGATGCATACAACTATGTCGACACGGTCAGAAGTGTCATCATGAAAAGGAATGTATCAGTTGAACGTTTTATCCTTGACATTCTGACTTCATGTAAACAGGCCATTTCCTGTGGATCCATTTTTCAAGACGTTCGAGAACATTTCTACCCAGTCAGACTTTTGGAATTACATGAACTCTGTCGTTCCTCAGTATCTCTTCCAAGAAACATGGTACAATCACGACAATTATACCGATCAGCAGAAGAGAACTGGTGCGCTTGTTTGTACTCAGATGCTACATGCTTACTTTGAACGAATAGTGCTGCATTATAACGTGATTGTACAAGCTTTCCGTCTCAGACAAGTTCGGACGCAGGAAGTCTCGTGCGAGGACGGGAGCTTCTTCATCCCATCACGGTTGAGGCCCTACATGAGGAGCTGCTTCCCTGATAACAGTCCGACCTGTCCTCCCTCTTCTCCTCCTCACTGACATGAGCGACAGCCAACATGCCGCCCGACTCCTTCATCGCCGGGTGGCCTCCTCCTACCAAACTCTTCTACCGCACGGCAGCAGAGCTAAACTCCTATCCCATGACGGCAAGCCTGGGCTACTATGAGGCAGGTCTCCTCCCCCTTATCGCATGCTCGTCATGGCATATTCACAGGGCGGGGGATATGCCATCGACATCCCCGTGAACTACACGAGAGGAGAAGTGTTGAGCATGTTCAAGTACCTCGAGTCGCAGGTTCCGCCTCCTTGCTCTCCGACTGTCACCTCGTCTCTGAACTTCAAGTAGAGATGGACAGACCGAAAGACCCGAGCCGTCATGTTCGACATCAACCTTTACAACCCGTTCTTCAACTACTTCCTCTCCCTCCGCCTCCTCTTTGAGTTCACCTTCTACGGTATTCGCGTTCTCTTTTGTAACGTCCTGATATGCTTACTCGCAATGTTCGCGACAGGTAAAGTAGTTCCCGTGAGCTCGTTTCGCGCTTTCAGGATGGGATTTTTTCAGAGAGGTTCTTGCAAAGGTGGAGAATGTTTGTAACTAGTTTGTTTGCAGGCAATATGCTGCTTTGATTTTCGACATCATTGTTCATGTGTTCGTGCTACTTCTGATCGTGCAGGATGTCTTCGAATGGAACGCTCTCGGTGCAAGGTTTTGGAGAAACCCTTGGTAATTGCGAACAATTTGAAACCGTGAGCTGATACAAGCTGCAAGGAAATGGCTGAACCTTATGATGTATTTGGTGTTTTTCATCAGTCTAGCGTTTCGGATACAATTCCTGATCATATCGATACCATACGTGAATTCATCACAGCAGAAAGACGACAAGGTGAAGTTGGCTAACTGTGAACGCTCTCTCACTTTCATCTTCAGTTTGCGGAGTTAGACTTCGAGAATCTAGGATGGATTTACTCACAGATATGGAATTGGACTTCGTTCAACAGCATCTTCGTTTGGGGTCGAGCTTTTAGCTTCAGCAAGTTCACCAACGATCGGTTTGCAAACATCTCATACACGATCTTCAAGTCCTACGATGACTTGACAACACTCCTCGTGGTGATCTTTTTCTGCAACATTGTATTCGGGGTGAGCTTCTTCGTGGCATATGGGATAGACGTGTCCAACTTCTCTTCTTTTCTCGATTCTTGTTACGAGCAATACAAGATGATGATGCGCGGAGACAACAACTTCACTTCCTTGATGCAGTCAAATGCAATCCTGGCTTCCTTCCTCTTGTTTCTCTTTCAGATCATCTGCACTTTCGGTCTGGTCAGGATCTCGTCGGCCATTCTCAACCAGAAGTTCATGCAGGTGTCTAGAAACGGCATAGACGACCCCATGGCCACCAAGTTTCGCTCGATGATGAAGAAGCTGATCCTGCGGAGGTTCCGAGCAATGTTCTACTGGGGAAAGAAGACGGACACCGATAGGTTCAATGAGGAGAGAGAGAAAGAGTACGAGGAGCTCCTGCTGATGCCGTCCCTCGATCGAGATTGGGAGGAGTTGCAAGAAGTTCGAGAGAAGCTGGGAAAGTTTGAACTCAAGGTGACCGAGCTCTCGTCGCTGGTTGAGACCCTCGAGACCAGAGTCGCTCTCCTGTCAAAGTTCCTGTCCGACGAAAACAGCAGCGGTGCCGCGGGCAAGTCACCGAAACATGCATGGAAGGACGAGGGCGATGGAGGGCCCGAAGAAGAAGGAGAATATGTTGCCTTGGCTGGGAACAAAGCAATCCTCCCGCCTCATTGGCGGCTGGAGCACGACGACAAGGGAAACAAGTTCTACTACAACACCATTACAAGGACGAGCCAATGGGACCCTCCTGTTGTTTACATACACAAGCGACACGTCCGCTGAGGGAGTGAGTGGAGATGATCATGGGCGATCAAGCCCAGGAGATCTCGAGCAGCGATTGGCATCCTTCCTCGACCACTACAGGGATCCTCCATATGCAATTCATCGGTGTCCCTCCTGCAACAAGTTCAGCCGGAGCCAGAGGGGAAGAGAAAGATGAGGGACCAGGCGAGGAGGCCCTGTTGACGGCTCCTCCTTTGTAAGCCGATCCGATCACTCGAGGTGTGGAGTCGCTACAGTGCTGCAGCGACACAGGTCACGGGCTGTGCTGACATGCGACTGCAGCTCTACCTCACAGTCCTCGAGCGGCAGACTGATCCAAACGCTCCCTTGAGCAGTTCTGGGGACGCTGAGCTCCATCGATATCGACTTGTCCGCCGTCTCCCACCTGGTTCAGGATCAACACAGGATACTCTTGTCCCTGGCTCACTTCTTCAGCTCCAAACCGCACGAGAAGTGAAGGTCTGAGCCCAGGTAGCTCGGTTCCTCCCGCGTCCTCCTGTACCGCACCTAGAGCAAGCATCAGCGGCTCCGGGACGCTCTGACGCAACTCACAGCAAGGAGAGCAGCGGAATGCGCGGGGATCTGAATGGCACAGATGGCAGAGGCCCAGCCTCTCGTACACTGCGGGGAGAGTGAGACGAGCTGTGGCTGGAGGTACAGGTGCAGACCTGTCCGTTCCAGAAGTCATACACCACGACCTGCAGGAAGGTCACCCGAGGGGAAAAGAGGAGGCTCTCTGACTTCTTCGTCGTCTCGGAGGTGGAGGGGGAGAGACGTGAGGGCGATAGCCCGGGCGTCATGGTGGTCGCTCAGATTGAAGAGGCCGACTAACATCCAGGTGCCCTCCGGCCCTGTCAGCTGCTTGCAAGTAACTCCACCCTCACCCCCCAGCAGAGGACCAGCAGACCTCGCTGACTAGAACCTCAGGGCATTCGCTCTGACCATGGAAGATGACGTGCGCGGGTAGAACGAGCGACCTGGGTTGGGAGTGCAGCGGGGGAAACAGACACTGAAGGATGCGGAGTCGCTCTACGGGGAGGGAGAGCAGATCGTCGGAAAGAAACAGAAGCCCCCCGGTCATTCCTGCCCGCAGACTCACTGACTCTGACTGCGGATCGATGTGGCTTACCTGCTAGAGTTGCTTTCCCAATGGCCTCAGCGTAACTTTGCTTGGTTGAACCATCGCGATCGGAACTGCAGCAGAATCAGACGGGGGTCACTTGGAAGGCAGAGTGAGAAACACCTTGCGAGCACCAGACAGTCAGGATTGTTCATCCACCACACGCCATGCATAGGATGCCGGACGAGCGAGTTGCGCATCATGTTCCTCCCCGACGGCAAGTTGGTCTTGTCCCACCAGATCGGCCACTGAGCCTCAGAGTCAGACTCAAGGCAACGAGGCGAGCGAGTCAAGACCGGCTTCCAAGAGAGGTTTGTGTCTGCTGATACCCTCATCGCGTCGACCCATCCCACTGCTGCACCCATTGGGCAGCTACAAGCCAGGAAGAAAGCATCGCCCACGGCTTCACGGAGAGTCTGCAGGGCGAGTTGAAAGACCTCGACACGCCATCAGGTCGAGGGTCGGCATCAGAAGGAGCTTCACCTGAGCTCTTGTGAGCGCTGGATCAAAATGCAGCGCTGGGAGGGCTGCTGCATGCAGGAAGTCGAGTTTCAGGAACTTGATGCCGTGCTGCTGCACGAACTCTTGGATGAAAGACTTCACGTGCGCTCGACACCTGGCAAGGCATGTCAGATTCTCCGCCCGCCCTCCCTTCCCAGCCCTCACTCAGGATTAGTAGCATCTAGTCCGTAGAACCACTTTCCCGGGTGTGTAAATCCACTGTTGGCAGCTCTTGACGAGAACAAGTCCAGCAGCCACAGCCATGGCGACTTGTACGCATCTCCCCACGAGTCTGCTCTGAGAACCCATTCAGGATGTTCCTTTGCGACAAGAGCATCCTTATCCGCAGCCCACGGCGCAATCCAGAGTCCTGCAGACAGAGTCGTTGGGACGAGAAACAAACATAAAGAAGCTAAGGGAACAACTCTTGACTCACCTCCTGCCAGGCCATATCTCCCGGCAATGCTTGCGACGTTCCCCGCTCCCTCCGGGAATTTCTTTGAGCTCTTGGTCCAGTCTCCCCAGTGATCGACATATCCGTCGTCGAGCTGTAACACCCTCAAGTCGACCCCTTGCTTCAGCCATCCGTGCAGCTTGCGCGCGTTCAACTCTAAGTCTTGCTCCGAAACTTTCTCCATGTACTCATACCAGCTGCACCAGCCCGTCGGCATCCCCGGACCCAACTCGCACGCACTCAAATCCCCTCCATCCTGCTCGCAGTCTGCCGGTACCCTCGCTCGACAATGCTCTCCGACAGCCTTGAGATAACTTTCGAATGTGTCCCCATCCGACCACAACATGATCGCCCAGTCTGTTCGAACTTTGTTGGCTCCTCTCGCCATATCGCCGCTTGACTGCAACGAGCCGAGGGAGGAGGAGGCCTTGCTGTGCTTCGAAAACAGAATCCCGTCGCAGCTGGCATGCATGCTGACATGCTGCTTCCACGGGTTGAGAGCGATGCACCCGAACTGTTCGCGCTGCAGTTGATCAAATCGTCAGAAGACAAGTTGCAACGACCCGCCCGATCTCTGACCTGAGACAAGAACCCCGCAACAAACTGGAACGTCGCGTTTGAATGGCCCGGAAACTCATCCATCCTGACGTAGAGGACGGCGAACATGTCGCTGACGCAAGGAGCATACTTGCGGACGATGCCTGGACCGAAGCTACTCGGCAGGAACCTCAACCTCCCAAACAGAGGGTTGGGCGGCATTCTTGCACCTTGCAGCAAATCGTTAGAAAGGTCACAAGGTTGAGATGGTAGGTAGACCATCATGAAAGGGCCCGGAGAAGAGCCAGCCTGTTTGTTGTCTGACTTGAAGCGGCAAGATGTTCAACCTGCAGAGAAGCCTCCTGATGGAGCCAAGAACGCCGAAGCACGCGGAAAACTTGATCACTCCTGCATAGCTGAAACTTTGCCAACCGTTCAACATCGCCGAAGTCCAGACCTCCTCCATTCCTACGTAGCGGCATTGAAGTTTGGGGATGACGGAGGCCAACAGCAGGGAGGAGAGGACCGTAAGAGGCATCAGCAGCATCCGAGGCACCTTGAGGGAGGCAAAGGCAATAGGGAAGAGAGCCAGGCTGATGAAGGTCCACATCAAGATTTCCATCTTGCGAGTGCGAGTTTGCTGGATAGCATGCGAAGCTGACAGCTCGGTCGTCACCTCTCCGTCAAACATGGTGATAGTCTCAAGGAAGATAGGCTCCTCACAGCTCTCGATCTCTGCTCGCCATATCAATACGTTGTCTTCTTCCTTCTCTCCAAACTCGATCCACGCAGGTAAACGCGGAATGTTCTCGCCCACTATCTGTCCACAATACCTTCTGATCCTGCAGAGTCCGACTCCTCGAACCTCTTCTTCTCTCTCGCTGGCTTCGTCCGTGACCACCAGTCTTCCAGTGCATAGCCCTCCTCTCCTCCTCCACGCTGACACTTGGAGCAAATTCTTGCACTTGACTCGCCAACCGAAGGCTTTCGCGCTGCGCGATGCGAAGTTCTTTGATGAAGGGGAGGGTGTGTGCGATGTTGTGGTAGCGAGGAACGAAGATCTCCTCCTCCTCCTCTCCTCTCTCGCTGTCTTTATCCTCCACCCTCCATCGTCCAGTTCCAGCATGTTTACGCCCATTCCCCCGAAAATCTCACCCGATGCCGGTCGTGGAGCCGGCGGGCCGGCCCCCGGGGAATTTTAATGCTTTTAGCTCTCCTCTTTTTCAAGGCACCATTTAAAACTCCTTGAGCTCTTCACATTTGCGGAGTTTTCAGGTCCGTCTCCTCTGGCCCCCATTTCTACAAATGTTACACCTGTTCGTTGTCAAGAGGTAATCTGGACAATCACCCCCACCCCCTAAATTACGCTGCACATATAGGGTTGAGCTGAAAATATTTCCAAGGGGTTGTAGGGTACCCGAAGTCTGAAGGTGTAAATCTATACCCCTACTCCCTCAGTTTCTCTGTTGTGCGTCCTCTGTCAAAACCTTGTGTATACCCCATGGTGCTGAATCCCGACCTTGTCGAGTACCCTACCCACACTATTTCCCTACCTACCTCCTCCATGGGGAGCCCCCTCCATTTTTTTCAGATACGACCCCGTCTCTACGTCCACATGCCCTGCACGAGTCCCTTAAAATTCTTTTTCAGTTCAAGTATTCATTTTACTATAAAATGAAGGTTTTATATGGTACCGTTCAGCACAGCAAAAAAGACAGTCAGCAATACATCGACTTTGTGAGAAGCATTACAGCACTGTCCTCAACATTTTGGCTAATTCAATACAGAGGCGAACTTCAAAAACTTTAACAAAAATTTAGAGCAATCTAGGTACCCTCTAGGTTTGTCCCAAACCCCCATCGTTTCGATTGGAAAGGTTAGTTGCGCCCCAAGAGGAATTTCGAAAATAAGACATATCGGAAAACTATCTGGTATCGAGGAGATATGACCCCCGTTATAAATACTTTTTAGAAATACCTCATTTACCACAGGAATAACACCGTTATGCCCCCCAGGATCCATTTTCATAAGCTGCGAAACCCGAACGGTTGCATTCAAACGTTTTGATCTTAAAACCAGATCACGGGTTTAAATTTTATCTTATAAAATATCGTAGTATCTGCTCAAAACCTCCCCCATCTCCCTGGTATCCACTACTGAAGTGACCCCCCCCTTTCCCCTGCCTTGGTACCTTACCCCACCCTAGGCGTCACAAAATATTTCTCTCAATTCCATGGATAACCACCCCCTAAGTTGTATCACAGTACCCCTTGTTTTCATACTAAATGATAAGATCCCCTCGTACTGCTGAAGCCCCCAACATCTCGTCCAGAACCCCCCTACCCCTACCCCCTGACCAATATCATAAGGGGGTCGTTTTCGACCATCACCCAAGGCTTTGATCCTGATCACGCCTCGAGGTACCACGGGTGGTATCAGGTACCCCACTATTATTAAAAATTTTGATCAGAAGGTGTGGGGTATCATTGTACCTAGCCTGTTGGTGGAATATTATCTCACAATAGGGTGGTGTGACTTCTTCAAGTGTACCCCTACCCTCCCCAGACTACCCTGACCCCACTCGTACCCCTCCATGTCCTTTCCGACCCCATGAAAAAGGAACCCATCATTTCAGAACCCCCTGACATAACATCGAAGTACCGGTACATGATCAATGAAATGCACCCCAAGACTTATGCCACCCTCCATATTGATGACCCACCGTCAAAGCTGAATACCACATGACCCTACCCCATACAATCTCTGGGATATCACCCCATCCAATACCACCAAAAACACAACCTTTTACACCCCCACCCTACTTTTTATACAGAGATAACCCACCCACCCCATGTACTTCTGGCCTCCTCTCCTCAAGCAGCGTGACGATCCTCCCTCCTATCCGCTCCTTTCCCGTTCCTTCCCGCTGCATTCTCTGCCAACCGCCTCCCAGCTCCTCCTGATATCTCACTGAAACCTAGTTCTCTGTCATTCTCCCCCCTCGCAATTCACGATTTCTCTCCTATCACCGCCTCGGAAGCTCTTGGTATAGGAAATCTGTTATGTGGGCGTAGAACGAATTTGGGAGCTATCCCTTTTGTGCACGGCCATATACTAGCACCCCTGTGTATGCAAGGTTTGAAAATCAACAGAGAGGATATCGTCTGTCTATGACCACACAATACAATGCTCAAAGCTGGTGTCAGAGGCATGATGCACCAGCGAGAACGATCGCCATGGCGGTAAATGATACAGCTGAGACCAGAGCAGCGTTTGCCTGGGCTCGTGCAAACCTCTTTCGAAAGCAGGATTTGGTGATCCTAGTCCATGCATATGACCGCGATACTGTTTTCGGGACCAATGCAAATAGAGAGCTTGGAGTGAAAGTTCTGCTGAAATATGAAAATCTTTGCAATGCTAAAGGAGTCAATTATCGCGTTGTCCTGGCTCAGGGGTCGCCCGAGGTCGTGATTAGCGAGGCGACAAAGACAAACAGTTGTGACATGTGTGTGATCGGGAGTCGTGGATTGAACACCTTCAAAAGGGCTGTGCTCGGATCGGTAAGTGAATTTGAGATTTGATCTAGGCTTGTCCTTACATGCTGTTCAGGTCAGCTCTAAAGTTGCTCAGCTCTGTACTTGCCCCGTGATGGTCATCAAGAAGCCTAAGGACGAAGCTGGCGCATTCCTGACTGTTTTGCCAAGGCGGGTTTTCTTTCACGTCGAGTGCACAAATGCTTCAAAATTGGCGTTTGATTGGGCAGCCTCCAAGTTACTGTGCAGGGATATAGATGAGGTGTATCTGGTCATCACCACGAAGGCAGTGAGGAAATCGTTGATCCTACGCCCAAGAAGCACCAGCTCCTTGCAAGAGGACGAGCTTGCCAGAATTGAAGTGGAGATCCTTTCGGATGTGTTCGAGAAGAAATGCAACGAGCTGGGTATCAAGAGCGTCAAGCGCTTGAGGGCTACGGGCCCGGTAGCAGAATCTTTGATGAAGGTGGCGATGGAAAATTGCTGTGATGTACTGGTTGCTGGTCGTGATCTGAGCAAGAAGGCTGAAGATCCAGCTCTTTATGCCGTCCACAACGCTTCGTTCGCGGTGATTTCATTGGGCACGAACGCAGAATCAAGACCTGTTTCGGTCCCTGCGAATTTTGCAGACTATGCAAGCGGAGAGCGAACTGAGGAACTCCATTCTGCAGAATGCCTCTTCTCTCATGTGGACGAGGATTACGAACCGTTGAACAAGACGTTCAATGAGAGCTCTGCGATGCCTGCACCGTTGGGCTCATTTGAGCGCATGCCTATTGAGGATGGACCAGACGACATGCCAGTCTTCCATCCGTCTAACACCGAGGATATGCCAGCAGGAGTTCAGTCTGAAAATTTCGTTTCTTCCCTCCCTTCACTTGAAAATTTGCTGAACAACCTGGAGACTATTGACGATATGCCAAGGTCAAGAAGGTTTGAGGAGGAGCCGGTCACAAAGTCTTCTCAGCCTCTGGGGCTCAAGAGGATCACAACGAGATCGCTTCTCAGGTCAGACTCAGGAAGTGACATTCTCTCGGAATCACCTTGCAAGAGTGACATCGTCGACGAGCCCTGGATGGGCCATGGTCACTTCTCTTCTGGAGAACCCGTGACCGCATCATAGTATAGTCTTACTAACATTATTTATTCTTTCTTTCAAGCATCTGATAACGGTCGAGCCGATAGCTAGAAACTACTCTATAAATGTTCTGTGAAGATATAAATTTGTTCAAAGGAAAACCAGCAGCGAGAGTTGGAAATTTTAATGTGCAACATGGCCGCATATGGGCACCTCGTATTTTAGTAAATACGCTCAACAATGTGTCTCAAAGCACGATTGAAACAGAGAAAAACTACAATCACAGCAAACGTAGGTTTAACCCCACTTGGGCGAGGCCTTCATCTGTCCCAATCATGTCAGCGAAGCCCCATCAAGACAAGGAACATGCAACAAGAATCACTCACCCTGGCAAGGCAGGCTCTCAGCTGAGTCTCGAGACCTGAGCACTCGGAGCAGAGTTCTCCTCCGCATTTGGTTTGCATGCAAGTCCAGAGGGGCGCGCAATCACAATCTTTCCCTTCGGACTCAGAAATAGGTTGAGACGAAGTTTTGGAAGTCGTCGTGGTGAAAGTACGAGTTTGGCTCGAAAATGCCACAGTCGCTGCAGCACTTGCTGCTGCAAGAGTTCCGACCGCGCCATACAGAAGGTTTCTTGTAAGGATCATTTCACTGCAGTTTTGGGGAAGTCGAAGAAATAGATGAAAGTCGAATAGGAAGAGGAGGGTAAGCTTGTTGTCGTTGACGAGACCTAAGAAGAGACGTCAATCGTGAAAATGTAGAACGACAATCTTGTTTGGCACAAAATTGTGCATACAGTTTCGAATAAGAAATGAGACTCATCCTAGCAAGAGAGGTATCTCGAACAAATCCTCCAGAATTTGGTTTCCCCTAGTATAATACTAACTGAATAGTGTTTCAATCAACAGAATCATCCGTTGATGGTCTTTCTTTTAATGTTTGCTTGAAATTCCGCCTGATCCATCAACAGCATTGTCGTATGAAAGCAAATACTATCAACTACGTCTTCTGACATTAATTCTTTCCTGTCAAACAACAACTATCACTCGTTGTCCTACATCTAAGATGAAGTCATCTCTCCAAAACCTCAAGCCCCCGACTACCTCATCCATTTCTTCTCCAACCTTTCCCTTCTCCCCCTCTCCCCTTCCTCCTTTACTTCTCAACCACCTTCACCCTTGTTGCATTCTACACTGGTATGCCCACCCTCCCTGGCTTGTACCCTACTCTACCCACCCTTGATTCGATGGAAAACCTTGCTATCAAAATACCGGATATAAATAAGCTAAAAGTAGGGGTAATAGGGACATATGCTACTACACTACCCCTTCAAAACATACCCTACCCCTTGGGATGTATTGCCTTGACCCCCTTGGTAACGTACCCTCTATCCGAATCTCCAAAGTACCCACCCTCTCGACTGAAAATGGTATTTAAGTACCCGGTCCTTGAAGACAAGCTACTTTTCGCTACCCCTTCTCAGTTACGTCCTGCTGACTTTTACTCAATAGAAACGTAAGGCCCCCACCCCCTCGAAAACGTCATTTCCTCATTACACCCCATTTTTTACCTTTATAATAACCCGTACATTGATAACCCCACCCCCCGCAGACCCATGTTCCCCAAATTCAATCGGACCGAATCGATTCGAATCAAGTGGAATCGGTTGCTCAGCTGCGGCGGGCCCGGTCCGGCCGGGAGGATACTCAGGCCCGCCTCACTCATACACCACCCACCCACATCCCATGGGAACATGCAAGTAAACTCACTACCCCTACCCACTTATTTCGGTAATTATCAGAATGTACCCCTTTAAAGTTGGATATTGCCCGTGCTTTTGTGCTTATTATTGTGGGTACTAGGTATGACCGGTGATCAAGAAAATCCTAGATCGATTGCCGTACCCATTGGTCTGCCAGACCACCCCCTGCTTAAATGGCCGCACTTGTCGGGTCTGATGGCAGGCCATCATATCCGATAGGTGGAATGGAAGCATAGGGCTGTGAAGAGTCATGGCGGGAGAAGCATGTAGCAGGACAGAAGGACTTGATGAATCGAGACCAGACAGGACAAAATAGTGGGCGCAAGAGCAGCAAACAGGAGACATGAAGGTCGAAAAATTCTAGATCCTGCAAGGAAAAGTTTTGTTTATCCATGATCCCAGAACCCAGATGAGGGGAAGAGATGAGGCTGGTAGCCAGATACGCTGAACGAGTCAAGAGCGAGGTTGAAAGAAACATGAGGGATGTTCTCTGTGGTGAAGAGGATAGGATCCATGAGATTGTTATCTGACAGAACATGAGAGAGAGTTGTTGACTTTCAGCGATGGCGAGAGAAGATGAATATGTTCTTGACAGTGCCGCGTCAAATATTTTTCAAGAACATGATACCATAGAAAACGTTGCAAAGGAAAGACAAGGAGATCGAAGAGGTATGTATGCAGATGACTTCAGTCGTGATGATTGTTGACTGATTCGGCTATTATTTTTTTCTCCTGGCAGCCACACCGCAAAGATAAGCGAACGGGCAAGCATCGATCTTTTGAGACCTTCATCTGTTCTCCTGCAGACCTTCATCTGTTCCCCTGCAACATGGCTGCATCAATCTCGAGCAGGGATGATGTTACCGGCATGCAGGCGGCTATGGGTACACGATCAGTGCTGATCGTATCCCGCCGGACTAACTTGTATCTGCAGACAATCTCACATCGATGGAGGCCAACGGCTCTCTCTTCAGCAGCAACTCGCTAGATTTCTGCATCGACTGCGCCTCGACGGAGAGGATCAGAGCAGAGCTGCTCGACACTGAAGCCTTCTATGAGTCCATTGCCCATGAGATCCAGGCCGACAACTTCCTACATGGTTGGCACTCAGATGTGTCCAGCTATACCCCAGCTGAGCGCAGAATCTCGAGCACAATTGCGTCTGGTAGAGCTGCTTGTTTGATACCCTCCTTGACAACCTTGATTTCTCAGCTCCCCTTGCTGGGCCAGGATTTCAGTTCGCTCGGAACGCAGAAGGAAAGGTGGTTATCAACTCGATCTTGGCTGGAGGATCAGCCGACTGCGATGGGAAGATCCAAATAGGTGACGCAGGAAGAGCAGGAGCAGAAGCAGAAAGGGAGCAGGAGCAGGAGCAGGAGCAGGAGCAGGAGCAGGAGCAGAAAGGGAGCAGGAGCAGGAGCAGGAGCAGGAGCAGGAGCAGGAGCAGGAGCAGGAGGATTCCTGAACGATGGGTCACAGGAGATGAGATTGTCGCTGTGGACGGAGTCGATTGCAAGGATCTGATCGCGCGCCATGTGACTATCGACGGACAACATCTTGGTTACTGACAGGCAGGCAGATCAAACAACTCATCCTTGGGCCAAAGGATTCCACTGTGTCGCTCACGGTAGTTGAGGAGTGGGGAGCCGATGGTTTTTGAGTTGTTGCCAGTTGCGGAGGCCATGGCAATTATTCAACATTGAGGTCGCTTCCATCAGTTTCATTCTGCTTTCCTGACTTTGACCTGTCGATCGTCTATCTCGCACACTACTAACCTGACAAACAGGTCAACTTGCCACGATGGCTCAACAGCGATTCATCGTCAAACAGGGTGAGCTGACATTGACGTGAATCCCCTCCTTCACATGCTCTCTCCTCACTTCCCTCCTCCCTCCTCCCTCCTCCCTCCTCCCTCCTCCCTCCTCCCTCTCTTCCCTCCTTCTTTATCACTGCATCTTACTTTCGTACCCCAGGACAGCGAGTCATACGTGACGGCCTCGTCGATTCAAAGTGAAAAGCTTCGAGTGGGTGATGCTGACGGCTCTGCCTTGGTCTTGACACCTCTCAAGCAGAGAAGTTTTGCGACCCAAGAAGACGACATCTCATCGGACTCCAGCTCCTGTAAGACGTTGATGAAGCCAGTTGACAGCGTCACACTTGCTGCTTGCCAGGTTACTACTCACAGTATGATGGCATCGATGAGGGGCAGAGATATATGTCAAAGAATTTCGACAGGTGAGAGTTTTCACCCTCTTCCTCTGTCCTTGTCAAACTTTTGCAGTCTGAGGCTTCAAGGTTGCATGGAAGAGAACAAGCAGCTGAGATCGATCCTGACGGAACTTGCACGGCTGAACTCATCGTTCCGTTGCCTCACCTCTGACATGGACGCTGCTATGAAGGATATCTTGTGCGCTAGTCTGTCGTCTCTCCGCTCTTGATGAAATGTGCTCGCAGTGATGAGATGAATCATCTTCACCTGAAGGACAAGGAGCGAGAGGAGGAGGAGGAGCGAGCTCGAGCAACAGCCCAGCAAGAGGAGGAGGAAATGCGCATGTTGATCCAACATGAGCTGCTGTGTTGCGAGGATGCACTGTTGGCACATGACAAGATCGTCCAGCAGATGCAGTCGCACCTGCAGGCTTGTGAACTCGAACTCGCTCAGCTCCGATCTGAGAAGGAGAGGAGGCAAGAGGAAGACAAGTGGATGAGGCAAGAGGAAGTGAAGGAGAAGAAGACGGAGGACGAGAAGGAGAGAAAGGAGGAAGAATCAGAGCAGAGAATGGAGGAGGCAAAGAGGATGGAGAAGCTGCTAGTTCAATCTCTTGAGCTTGAGGAGACGACACGGCAGGTCCGCCGGATGTTTGCGGAGGAGGCGGCGAATCGCAGTGTCATCGAGCATCTCCAAGCTAAGCTGAGGGATGCAAGACAAGAGAGAGCGCGAAATGGGGAGCAGCTGGAGAGAGCGAAGGAGCGGCTGCTGGAGATGGAGAGGCAAGTGAAAGCTCTCGACTTGCCTTCGAGCCTCGCGGACCTCGGGGAGGCTCTGCGGGTCGAGGTTGAGAGGAGGAGAGACGAGGAGGGGGAGGCGGCGAACGCCGAGAGGATCGCGCAGCAGGCGGCTCGAATGGTACTCAGTGAGATAGTCAGCTCAGAGCTCACGCGGATGACGATGGAGCTGAGGGAGGTGGAGGAGGAGGCGCGTCTTGTGCTTGGGAGCTTTGAGAGCCTGTTGTCGGGGAGGACGCAGGAGAGCATGGAGAAGAGTTGGATCCTCTCCCTCTCCCAAGTGGCGAACATGTCGAAGATGCTCAAGGATGCCAACAAGGAGGCGAGCATAGACATTCAGACTCCTGCAGCAATGAGCAGCAGCGAAGAAATTCGTCAGTTGCCTGCTCCTGCTCCTGCTGCTTCGACTCTTGCTGCTTGGACTCCTGCTGCTCCTATCTCTTCTCATCTTCCTCTTGAGGACATCACTGAACTTCGCAGCATGGCGGATGCTATGGCAGTTGAACTTCAGGTCATTATGGCCGCCTCATCCCTCGCCCCTTCTGAATCCTCAGCTTCTTCTTCCTCTTCCTCATTTCCTCACCCCCCCCCCCCCTCCCCTCGCTCCCTCTGCCTCTGCCTCTGCCTCTTCCTGACTTTCCTTTCCTCACTCACGGCCTGTGCAGGAAGTCGTGGACGAAATGGTGTATGACTCCAAGCATGCTGCGGCTATCTTGCGCAACCTTGAAGAGGAGAAGAAATGTTTGCTTACAGCCCTCGAAAGATTTTACAAGCTTCCAAGTAACACCCTCCTCTGCTCTGCTCTGCTCTGCTCTGCTCTGCTCTGCTCTGCTCTGCTCTGCTCTGCTCTGCTCTGCTCTGCTCTGCTCTGCTCTGCTCTGCTCTGCTCTCCACTCGTTCCTGAGGGCTTATCCTCTGAATTCTCCTCGTACTTGGCCCTGCGATTCCAATGTTCACTCTGCCCTCTCGCCTCCCCTTCTCTTCTCTCGTCTCGTCTCCTCGCCTCGCCTCTTCTCGTCTCGCTCCTCCTCACTTGTCTTTTTGCTCTAGATCCAGTCGGCGTCGGCATCATCGTTGGCATTCGTTCATCCCGTCCGTCTGTTCAGATTCCTCTCACCATTTCCCACGGTGCTGAGGATTGGAGCAAAGCGCTCGGAAGTGCCGTGGGAAACGTGATAGGCAGCGCTCTTACCGGCAAACAGGTTTTCCCTCCCTCCGCTCCGTCTCCCTCCACTTCCTGTCTCCCACATTTCTCTCCCCCCCCTCCCCCTTTCCCTCCGATTCCCTTCCTTGTTCGTTCCTCAGTCTCCGGGCAGGTCAGTGTCATGGAGCAGGAAGTGTTTGTCGTCGAGCGTCTCGTTCCCAACCTGTCGGCCGCCATGTCGGGCATGGTGCCGGTGGGGGCAGAGATCCTGCAGATCGACCAGAAGGAAACAAGAGGACGATCGCTCAAGGCCGTACAGGAGATGCTCTTCGGGGAGAGAGGAAGCCTGGTTAGGAGGAGTAAGAGGAGGATGTTGTTGTTCTGAGACTTTGAGCAGGTTCGTTTGCAACTTCGGCTGGGGCAGAAGGTCTCTGTCATCATCCTGAAGCGTGGGTACGTCACTGATTGTGCCGAGTGTCACCATGAAGTTTCCCGTCCTGTCCCCTCTCTTCTCCTCTCCTCCCCTTTCCTCGCCTCTCCTCGCCTCTGCTCCTCTGCTCCTCTGCCGACACACCATCCCAAAGTGCTGTCTTCCTGCCGTCCGTCCTGTCCTGTCCTGTCCTCTTCCCATCTCTCCCTACCGTCCCGCAGTGCTGCCTTCTTCTCCTCTCCTCTCCTCTCCTCTCCTCTCCTCTCCTCTCCTCTCCTCTCCTCTCCTCTCCTCTCCTCTCCTCTCCTCTCCTCTCCTCTCCTCTCCTCTCCTCTCCTCTCCTTGCCTCTCCTTGTGCGGATGACAGGCTGTTTTGACACCTACAAGGCTAGTTGTCAGATTCTCTGTCTTCTGCTCTTCTCCTATTAAATTTGCCTCTTTCTTTCACTGTCTTTTTCTCTTCCTAGTAATTCATGTTGAGTTAATTCTCGTGTCTGAAGACGCATCTCATGCTCAACTGCTCCTGCTCCTGCTCCTGATCCTCATCCTCATCCTCATCCTCATCCTCATCCTCATCCTCATCCTGCTTCACCTCCCCCTCCTGCTCCTGACCTTGCCCCTGCCCCTGCTCCTCCTTCCCCTGCTCCTGCTCCTGCTGCCCCTGCTCCTGCTGCTCCTGTTCCTGCTGTTCCTGCTGCTGCTGCTCCTGTTCCTGCTGTTCCTGCTGCTGCTGCTGCTGTTCCTCCTCCTCCTGCTGCTGCTTCTTCTTCTGCTCCTGCTTCTTCTGCTCCTCCTCTTCCTTTACACTTCTTCCTCAACTCTCAACTCTGACATTAGCGTGTACGTAGACCGTGACGATGGAGGGAGAGCCTGAGCGAAAGCGAGCACGACATGGGGATGAGGAGGAGAGGTGAGAGATGAAATTCAATGGCATGTGACTGACGGCACGTTGGCTGGACGACATGGATGTCAACAGGGAGGCTCTAGAAGAAGACGTCAATCCTTATGGAATCAAACCGTAGGGCTCCCTTGTTTGCTGGGATGGTTTGACGCCAGTGCTGGGCAGAGAAGGGAATTTATTCGATTGCGACGTTGCGATGGAAAACAAGCTGACGGCCTCGCTCGGAATGTTCCGGAGATTGCATGACAAGACAATTCTACACGTTGAAACATTTGCAATGTCAATCTTGCGTGTGATGCTGTTTGAACAGATATTATCGTTCCTTGACCATCATGCCCTGTGTAGTAAGACGTTCTGATCAGATTGATAGAGCTGCTGACAAGTTTTCAGGACTGTCTTCAGTCAGTGTGGGCATGTACTGCTTCAGCCATCATACCGTATGTTTGCTATTCACTCTTTTCCATTTCGTGACCATCCGAAAGAATATTTGGAGAGAACTGACGATCAGCAAGTTTGGAGGAGATTTCAGGCACGGTATCCTGCATCATTTGAAAAGATCCCTAACTGTTGTTCAAGATTTCAAAAGTGTTGGAAAGAAACTTTTCTAAAACGAATCAACAGCAAGTTTCCAGGGCATAAACCGCTGAGGATGAAAGTAAGTGACATGATGACACCTGTCCAGTTTCCCTTTCCCTCCTCCTCCTCCTCCTCCTCCTCCTCCTCCTCCTCCTCCTCCTTCTACTACTACATCGCGTCCTCCTGTATCCCTTCCCCTTGCCCTCCTCCTTCTCCATCCCCTCCTCGTCTCCTTCTCAACTTTCTGGTTGACCGTCAAGTCAGGATTGTTACTCCGACATTCTCTTCGAGCCGTGGATGAGTGAGTCTCTTTCCTCGTCGACGTCTACCTGACTCCCTTCAGACGCCAACATGGCCATCGATCCGAGCTGGCTCACAGTCGAGAACGTCGACAGGTAGCCTTCGAGCACCCTTGTGTGAGAATGCTGACAGACTGCCCTAGGCGGAGTGGGCTGACGGCCCAGGAGTTTGTAGAGAACTATGAGAAGCGCAACCTGCCGGTTAGTGAGATGGAGATGGGAGGGGAAGGGAGGAGGAGAAGGGGATTGGAAAGGAAGGGGAGGGGAGGGAGGGAAGAGAAGGGAAGGGAGAGAGGGGAGAGGAGGAGAGGAGAGGTTTACTCTGTTGAACCAGGTCATTCTCACCGACGTCATCCCGAAATGGCCGGCAAGCGAGAGCTGGAAGTGTGAGAATCTGTTGAAGAAATATGCAGACACCAAGTAAGAGAAGGAGTATGCTGCGATTTTGTTGACGTTAGCTCAGGTTTAGAGTCTCAGCAACCATGGACATGAAGCTCGAGGATTTTCTTGATTATTGCAATCATGCGCGCGAAGAGCGACCCCTGTAATCTACACTGTTGTCTGTGTCATGATCTAATTGTTGTTGTCTCTGTTCATGATCTAATTGTTGTTGTCTCTGTTTGATGTTGATCCTGCTTCATTTCATTCTATCATTTGTTTGCTTCACGCTCGTTCAATGCTTTGTTCATTCCTGACTCTTGTCTCAAGTTATTTGTTCGAGAAGAATTTTGCGACAAAGTGTCCA